ATTAAAAAAAAGATTGAATTTCGATTATTTTTCCGGAAGTTATGAGCAAACGAAAATACGCGGATAAAATTATTCATATTTAGGGTTTATGTAACTTTTTCATGTTTAGGGTTTTAGAGTTACATAATTGCACATTCAATGGAAAAAAGATTGATATATTAATATTGTCACTTTTCCATTTTTGTGCAGCTAATATAACAGATTGGATATTTCTGATCCCGGCCGGTACGTTGAGTAGCTCAGTCACCGGCTCACAATACATAATGATCCTCAGTTTCCAGATTTTTCAAACGTCTATATTATGTACTACTCAGTGTATCGTGGATACCTTCTTCTTCAGCCTTACGGTACATCTCGCCGGTCAGCTGAAAGTGCTTAAAAAGAAATTCAAAACCGTAACGAACGAGCCGTATACTGTACCAAGTTGCCGAAGGAAATTCGTCGACTTGGTTAACAGGCATAGCGAGCTGATGGAATACTATCAGAACTTGGAGGATAGCTTCCATGTTCTCATATTAATCACACTTACAACGGTGACGATTATGTTTGCATTACTAGGTAATCTATTGCAAAAGGTTTCTTATACATTTATAGATAGTTACACTACTGTTCAGAAGTTTTGAAGCAGTCATATTTTTGTGTGAAATAAAAGATCGTTTGTAAATATTATGAAAGCAACCGCTTATAATGAATGTTTGTTAACATTGACGACTACTTTAGGTTAGAACACCAACTTTCTGTGCCTATAATTACATTATATTAAATAAAAAAATTCAGTTAAATCAACCGACTGATAACTTTAACGCACACTGAGCTCAAAAATTGCAACTTGCGTCTATGAATGCTTGAATACAACTATTAAGATCCTATTTAATTAGAATACAAAGATTAGATATCGGAATTGAGGGTAAACATCATATTTCTGTGATTCGAACGTGACCAAACAAAGTAAGTGTTCAACCGCAAGTAGATAATAGCAAGAATTTACCAGACATAGGCACAAAGTTAGTGTTCTGGCCTAAAGTAGTCGTTAATGTCAATAAACATTCATTATACCAGGTTGCTTTCATAATATTTACAAACAATCTTTTATTTTACCCAAAAATATGACTGCTTCCAAACTTCTGGACTGTAGTATATATAGATCTTTAGTTAGTTATACATCTATCGCACGAACAATAAACTCGCGCACCAAATGGTTAAAAGATGTATTTTTTAATGTATTTAACCTTCTAACCGTGCTCTGGGTCTTTTTTTACCCAGAACAATTTCAAAGTTTATACAGTTTTTGTAATATTCTAAATACAAGTGTGATACTTCGCGACTTTTCGAGTTATTTTAGAAAAAGTCAGCACATATTGTACTAAATTACGTTATATATTGCTAAAATAAAAGATATAAAAAAATACATATATGTCAATTAAATAGTGAGTTCTCACCGTTGAGTCTATTTAGACTCTGAATATAGTCAAAGTATACCCGAAACGAACACGGTTAGAAGGTTAATTGTGTTTTTCGTTAGATTTACAACTAGACTATTATTTAAGTCAATTTTAAATATTGGGATTTGGGCACTTACGATTACTCGCACGCCAAGCTGAATATTTTCGTGCGATTCGGTTAAAATGAGGCCTCTACTTTCAGGATTGCGTTTAAATTTTTGCCTGCGCGAAAACGATCATGTGGAATTCATCAAAAGCACCTTGGTTATAAACTACTTCTTATTAGAGTCGCTTGTGTACACCTACGCTGGCGATTTCTTGCAGCGGGAAAGCGAGAATATATTTTACGCGTTATACGCGACTTCCTGGATAACGCTTCCTTTGGCGTTGATGAAGGACCTGCACTTCGCGATGATGAGGTCGACTGTTCCGTTCCGTCTTACCGGCGGAAAGTTTTTCTACGTTAATCGCGAGACTATGATGTACATTTTTAAGACGGCGGCTTCGTATATCTCGGTTTTACGAAGATTGACGTGAACCAATCAGTTCGTGCGTGCGGGCATGAAAATACGCGGAGAATTTTGTACAGAGTTTAGTATTGTAAATATAAGAAGTATTACGTAAAGTGTGCGCGAGCATGTTTAATTAAAGTATTTTGGAACATGCATTTCGTGATTTTCGTAGCGGATTCGATATTTTCGTTATCAGCAAGTCCCCTCTCTATAGTGAAAGGTCTAAGACACATAAATAATTATCTACAGTTGTTCCGGTAATACACGTTGAATCTTAACAGTGACTGTTCGCAGGACCTTCCATAACCTTCTTCCGTAGAGAAACGATTTCGTTAAGGAAATGAACTCCTTGTTATCTATCGACCTCGTCAGATTGAAGACCTTGGTGTAGTCCCGCTTGTATCCATATACCCATACATTTTGATAGAATCTCATCATCGTGGCAGATGACTAACATTTGCGTGTCGAATGCTAGATCGAAGGGATTATCGATTATCGATCGGGTTATGTCAATAATCCAGGTCCGATATCACACTCACGAAGCTACTTATGTTGTACAACTACGAGCTCATGAAAACGAACAACAGCATCGCGGGTACAGATAAGATGATTCATCGTTCTGTATGATTGAATTGCGCTGAGCACGATCAAATTTGCGTTGTAACGATTATTAGGCGAATGACTAATTCGGTTCTAGAACTTTGCTGGCTCCAGAACATGATAAGCTTGCTGATTTATGAGCGGCGTTATAGGAAATTATTATCAGTAACCGCAATGCCACGGTGACATCACTGTTAATATTAAACGTAACTCTACCTTTAATAAATTTAATCTCTCTCTCTCTCTCTCTCTCTCTTTCTCTCTTTCTCTCTCTCTCTCTCTTTCTCTCTCTCTCTCTCTCTCTCTCTCTCTCTCTCTCTTTCTATCTTCTTAAATTTGCTATCTCATTTAAAACTAGAATTTGTCAAATAATTAAAACTCATTACAATCGTGTCGTAGCAAAACTACATTTAATCGTATATTAATCATTTTGCCTTTTATGGTATCAATGATCCTTACAATTGATTATTTACAATAATATCAATTACCTACAAGCACATGCAAAGAAACAAAAGTCCCTTTAACATCGCCTTCCACTGCACGAAAGAAAAAAAGTTTTTGTTTCATTCACCGCCTTCACGAAACATCTAAAAATTTCATCAAACGGAAGTTCTCGTCAATGTGGCAATGCAGTAAGCTGTTGGAGACAGACAGTTCAATTTTTAACATGATAATGAGGATAACACAGCTGCCTTCGTTGTTGTTTTATCATCGCTTTGTTATTATAGTCATTGCATATGCTAGCTGCGAACATATTCCTTTCGGAAGAAACTCGGAAGAGAAAAGAGAATTTCAAAGGAACGTTTTGCTAGACACGAAGTAGACATTCTGTAGCACGTGTATGAAACTTAGAATTTTCTCTACTTTTACGTCATATCTAAGAAACTATTACAAGTAGATACTAGAAGTTACATTACGTTGTTCCGTAATAGCGTGCGAATAACAGCACGGCGACGACGTATGCCTAACATCGAAAATTGTACACGATTGTGCAGTTACACAACATTACAGCGACAAGCGGGTTCGGGAAAATTTGTCTTATCTTGCCACTTATCTTACCACCCTCAAAAGAGAACAACGAAGAAGGGTGAGTCCGCGCGTTGATCGTAATGTTCATCGAAGTAGAAGCAAGACGTAGATCACATAGATGAGCTAAGCGGCGTTCAGTCACGAATGACCGTGCCACTTTTTGAGACTGAATTTGAAGGTGGCTGTTGAACCACGTTGAACGTGGTGAGACCGAACTTGAAATAATTATTGAACATGAAGACAACGTGGAACAGCGGAATGGACTACGGCTTCTCGGTGATAAGAACGATGATGTGGATACTCGGTGTGTGGCCTTTGCAGCAAAACGAATTGGTTTGCACAGTCCGCTGGTCCACGATACTTCTCGCGGAGGTGAGATGAAACGAAAACGTATCGATGTCTTTGTATTTATTTGACGATGTTTCTACAATTTTTTTACCCTCAATCGACACAATGACTATTCAGACTGCGATAGCCTGGCCAAATTGTTCGCAGTTGCTTCGAGGTTCTTGAGAAATTCCACAATTTCGCGTTTCTCGAGTTGTCTTACGATTTAAATTGGACTCGCGCGAGCTTCGCACTTAAACGCGAGATTTTCATTATCGTTTGCACTGTCAGATATCGTGTGCAATCTCATCGTATGTGCATTTATAAAACAGTTGAATCTTTACTATCGTATAGTCTCTCACAATGCTCAACCTGCTGATAGAACCTTTCAAGAGCTGCGGCGATACCAAAGACGCGCTGGAGGTCTGTCTTATAATAGAGACCGGCTTACACGCGTGGACGAACATGATTTTCGGGCGTATGTACATGAAAAAGATCGCCAGCAACGTGATCTCCGCGATCGACGATTGGTCCTCGCCCACGGAGGGAGAGTCCTATCTAATAATGACAGGGTACGCACGAGTAGGCCGAATAATCACTATGTCTCAAGTGATGATCGGATTTGTAGCCGCTTCTTTATACTTTATCGCCATTATCGTCGGAAATAACCAACAGGTTGTGTCAGAAATTCTGTTATTACAAACTTAAAAATGGTCGTTAAATAAAACAGTTTCATTGACACCAGTATAACGTAATATATAAGACAAACGTAACGATAAGAATAATACTTGTGTTGCTGAATAATATTTGGGTTGCTGAATAATAGTTGTGCAAGCTTGTGATTTATTGTAAAATAATTAGAGAATTAGATACGCACATTTATCCAACGGATGCCAATCGATATTTCAATTTGTTCGTTAATCTGACTTTCTCTTTACGCGCAATAATAAAATTATATAATGTATACCGAGACACGTTTCTGCAGGTGGTAACTATCGATAATGAGAATGTGACTCTGTGGACTTTCGTCTTTCCGTCAACATGTTTGTACAAAGGGGTTTCGTATACCACGTACAAGGCGCTTTACGCCATGCAAATATTACAGGCGATCCTACTGTTCATAGCGGAGTGCGCGAGCGATAGCTTTTTCTTTAGCATCACCATGCATCTCTGCGGTCAACTGGAGCTGCTGAGGATTCGCTTCGCTGAGATCGCGGAAAAAATCAATGAGAAAAACCGTTATGAGAATTTGTTGGGACCGTGGATCAAACGGCACTGTCAATTGATAACTTTGGCTAAAAACATCGAGGAATCCTTCAATATCAATCTTCTGCTACGCTTGGGAATAACCACCATAGTCATTGCGGTTTCAGGTATGCATAAGATCGCAAATGTCTTGACTGAAATATTATGTTTCCGTTGCGTGCGCGCGGAAAGATAAAGATACAGGAGCCATGCATGCATATTCAAAGAGCCGTCTTTCATCAAGGAATGCGTATTATGGTGTCCCTCAAGCATCAGGACTACACGGACGTGATAAAAAGTATGATTTTCATTCAATACTTCATCGTGCAATCCTTCCTGTTCACGCACGCCGGCGAAACCCTGCAAAATCAAAGTGAATCGATCGTTATGGCGATATACAGCACAACGTGGCACAAATTCCCGTCCACGACGATGAAGGACTTGATACTCATTATGATGAGAACGAAGATCCCTCTGCGGCTGAGCGCTGGAAAATTCTTTTACATCACGAGAAGTACTATCACGGATATCTTGACTACAGCCTTGACGTACATATCGTTTTTACAGGCGATGCAAGAGTAAGCGGACTGTCACGTGTGACTGTCAACTCGTCGCACAGTGTTGCGCAATGCCCATCCTTTATTATGGATAAAAATTGCTATTTGAGATCTATTAAGATGTGCGATTACGGCTCTTGCTTTCAAAGAGTAAAATTATTATTTTATTGAAATCTCTCATTTGGCTCATTTAATTGAAACATTAATTAAATAAGGAACATCTCTGAAGTGATTTGTGTAAATTGTAATTAAATACCATACAGACATAGTCTTTATATTTATATTGAGCAAGAAAAATGTATAAAATGATTATCTTAAATACTTACATTTGCAAATTTACAAATAAATTTAGAGGAAGCAGTTTTAAAATTTGTCGTTGTTGCCAATCACTGAAGCAACATACAAAACAAATGCAGTGCTATCATCTATAGAGAAAAATGCAGGAAGAAAAATATAAATTGTACTCAAACTATATTGCTATCAATGCAACGCGAAACTGAGAAGTTCACGTACATTTACTAGTTGAACGTTGTACAATACGTTAAACTTTCACTTTTGCGATGATCCTTCTTTACTTATTATTTGCATCGAATTTCGCGAAATCATCGAACAAATGACGCGTTTCTTGGAGAATTGATAAAATTGCACGCAAATTTCTCAAATTTTTCTACCGCGATGCTTTCTTTATGCATCCTGTACAATATCCAAAGAGGACATTGGGATGTATGAGACTATAATGTGAGATAATCGAGCAATTTGCCGATTCGCTCAGCGGCGTTCATAGCTCTTTAAATATGCATTGCCCGACGCGCGATTAGTTGGACTACGTATTCTCGAGAATCGATAGTATTCCAGAAGAAGAGATGACTACTAGAGTGGCGGAAGAGAAGAGATACCCGAATACCGTGGTGCACGACACAGCGAACTAGTTGACGAAGAGAGTAAATTAAAATTTAATTATCTTACCGCACGTCATTAAAGATGAAGATCTCCGCGATCAGCGCGGATTCATTTTGTCATGCGCTTTGAAGATGGCACACTGGAACCAGGATGCTGCTTACGCATTGGCGAGCTACAAAATTTTAGCGTGGCCCTTGGGTGCTTGGCCAATTGACGATGACACGTTTTACTCGAAGATGCGTTGGTTATTCGCGATGATCAGCGAGGTGAGAAAAATATTTTCGTCCAAATAACGATTCTATAAGTCACTTCTAGAAAATTAACAAGACTAATAAAATATATTCATAACTAATAACGTGAACAAATGTTGGTGTAAAATTTCATTTCATTTGTATATATATTCAGCAAATATTAAATTGAATTTAATCATTATTTTTTAAATAAATAGTAAGTTAAGTAAAGATTAAGTAAAGATTAAATTTAATTTAATCTACTTAAATTTAATCTTTCTTTTTATCTTAAGCCAATATTACATTATACTTGATCTTTACTTGAACTTTAGGGACAAGGATTCCTTTTTATTAAGGAGAGAATTAAGTCTCTTGTTGATTTTCAGAGCTTAAAGACTGTAAACGTAAGATTACATTTTGAGTTTCCGCTAAACTATTAAGCCGAGATTTAAACCGCAGTATTTTGAGTCTCTGCTAAACTATTAAACCGAGATTCAAATCGAAGTGTTTTGAGTCTCCGCTAAATTATTAAGCCGAGATTCGAACCGAAGTATTTTCAATCTCCGCTAAACTGTTAAGCCGAGATTCAAACCAAAGTGTTTTCAGTCTTCGTTAAATTGTTAAACCGAGATTCGAACCGAAGTATTGTAAGATTACATACACTTACTGCGTCCTAATTTGCTACAGTAATCAATTGTTTCAGCTCCTGCTGGTGACATCGCTCGCGACGGAGATCTGTCTCTCCTGTGAGAACTCTTACGAGGATCCCATCGACACGTACGTAGTGATCTCGAGCGCGATACTCGTGCTCGTGAAACTCTCCCTGCTGCGAATGCGGCGATCCACACTCTCGATCAATCTATCCTGCGCCATTCAGGACTGGTCGGACGTTAAGGATCCGATATCGCGCGAGATCATGATGCAGCACGCGCGCATAGCGCGAACAATCTCGCTCTCGTTGTTTTACTGCGGTTTCTTCGCCTTTATGCTCTACATGTTACGACTATTGCCCTTTTTAAACGCGACCGGCCAGAGAATGTATTACCTTCCAACGTCTTGCCTCCTGAAGTCCGTCTCGAACGTCGAGTACGTCGTCGTTACGTTCTATCAGGTGATCCAGTTGTTCATCACTTATGCCGGAAACTGTTGCACGGAGGGGATTTTTGTCGGTATCACGTTGCATCTGTGCGGTCAGTTAGAGCTTCTGATGATCAACTTCCGGCGGATCGATCAATGCAAATGCAAGGGAGACAACATCGTCGCGAAACTTGTTGTTCGACATCGACACCTGTTAAGACTCACGGAGACTATCGAGGACTCTTACAATGTGATCATTTTGACACAGATCTTTACCAGCGCGATTTTGATATGTATAACCGGTAAGTTCACGAGTCTCTTTTTCACGGAATTTGTTCATTAAGTGCGCAGGAAGTCCATCTTTTTTTGAGATGTATACAGTGTCTAATTTTTGAGAATTATTATATCAATTTTTATGTTTCCTCAACAAAATTATTTTTATAAATTGATATGTATATCCATTTAAATGCAAATAAAATGACTATTAGTGATCGTTCTTAAAGATAAAGCAAAAAAATAAATTCATGTATTAATGAAAAATTAAATCCTATAATATTTTTATTAAGGTTTCTTTATCAAATTAAGCGAGTTCTAATTAATCAGATAAATTTTTATTTCTGAAATATTCTTTATAAAGTCATTTTACATTACATAAATATTCAATTGCGTTATCTAAGTAATATTATCATTGAAATAGTTGAACATACACTGAGAGAAAAATGTTTGGTATTTGTAACTATAATTATATAGAAAAATAATTATTGTAAATTATGATCAAGACAACCATTTTTTAATCAGTTGTACAATAATTTTAATGATAATAACCTTATATCCATGTTACTATTACTATCTTCGTGTTGGAACATGCATATAAGGTTATTATTATTAAAATTATTGTACAACTGACTAAAAAATGGTTGTCTTGATCATAATTTACAATAATCATTTTTCTATATAATTATAGTTACAAATACCAAAAATTTTTCTCTCAGTGTATAAAATGATCCACCCTCTTTCCATCTTATCTACTTATGTATACTTATATATAATATTTTACCGTAGTAGCATTTTAGGATCACGATGATTTGGGGAACAATTAGCGAATTAAGCGTATTGGTTTAAGGCTTTGCGCTCATCGAATCCTTACATATTAACGACATAGTGATGACGGTGAAGAGTATAGTAGTGATGATCGTCATGTTGCTGCAATCCTTTCTATATTCGTACGCGGGCGATAATTTGAGAGATCAGAGCGAGGCCCTGTCATTCGCCGTTTATAACAGCAACTGGTGCGATTTTCCGTCCAGCGATATAAGAGATCTGGCGTTCATAATGATAAAAACGAACATACCGATTCGTCTGACCGCCGGAAAGTTCTTCTATGTCACACGTGCCACTTTCACCGATATCCTGAAGACTTCAGTATCTTATTTGTCTGCCTTGCGCGTTATGCTTGAAAAACAAACAACAAATAGTTATTGACAAATATGTTTCTTATATTACATCTTATTTGTGATAAAATTTTAGGTAAATTACACTCGTGACTACAATACATAAAAAAAACATACATATATATTCGCGCAAGAGTGAAACTTTTAGAAATTAGAAAAATACCTATATATATATATAATTTACAAGATACACATCATTTTTATTTTTTATCTCTCGTAGTGTACCATAATAAAAGAGAAAAGAATGTGACATTTAGCAGTTTCTGTCCTTTACAAAGACACAACATTCTAGCACATGTGTAATAAAAAGGAAACGCAATATTTCGAGGGATGACAATTGCAAAAGCAGCATAGTTACATAAATTGTTACCCAGGATAGTTTCGTAAAAGCAACTACTTTTCTGCAATTTGTGACAATGCGTGCATCAAGAGCGTAAAAAGCGATCTAGCAAATGGTTTCCATTTCGATGAATAAAAAATAACTCGTAATACTTGCGCCGCTTCGACGCAGCGAGCGTATCATCGGTCATCGGCGACAGTTACCGTCATTATCTCGACCCGATGACTAGTAAGCGATGGGAAAAGGATATCGCGTACGCGATGACTCCCTTCAAACTGTTAACGTGGATCAACGGAGTTTGGCCACTTCAAGATTATAATATCTATTCGTTAATACGATTTTATTTCTCCACAATTTCCACGGTATGCATTCTTCGAGTTGGACTTCGGTGATTCTTGACACGCAGTCCGTTCAAGAATGTAGAGAGATCGAGCTTTCGCATCAACATCGCCACGCTTTAGACAAAGTTTCGGTGTCGCGATGACATTGTCAAGTGTTTAAGTTTCCTCTCCGGTCATTGAACAACCCGAAATTAATAGTGCATACTGTGAAACGATTTCTTCGGTGGTGTAAAGTCCAAAATTGAACGTCTCATAGACGAATGCAGTCGTGAGCTATCGAAAATTAACCTACTAAGATCTTCCCTTCATTCGTAAGGTTCACCGTATCTATTTTACGTTCTTGCTTGTGGCTACCGTAACTATTTCTGAGAAATTCGAGGTTATAGCGTGCTTCATGTATCACTCAGTTCAGGATGCTAACGTTAGCGACTATCAAACCTATTGACATGATAGTCCTTTGATAATATAGTGTGCGAAACGAACTAGACTACGCAAATTCTCGTTAATAGATCAGTCCTTGCATCTTACTATGACACATATCAACAGATTATAGTAGTGATCTTGCCTTCTATGGAGCTTCAAATGGGCTGCACCGACGCGGAGAAAAACGTAGACAGCCTAATGTTCATCTGTTGCGGACTGCTCTCTACGGTGAAGACCATATGTTTTCGTATTTACGCGAACAATTTGATTGACACTTACAACGCCGCTATAGATGATTATCAGACAATCGACAATCCGGAACAGCGTAAGATCATGAGGAGATACGCTTTTATTGGGAGGACGCTCGCCTGTTCCATGGTGTGCTTTTCTTACTTTGCTTGCGCCGTTTACACGCTGATTCCGTTTCTGGGTGACGAGTCGATTAAGCAACTCAACGTAACGGACGAGAACAATGTTGAGTTGGAATATACGATACCTTCTAGATGCGCCTTGGAATATTTCCACGCCCCGAGGAGCATGTACAACATTATCATTCTTACCGAATCTTTTATGGCGGTACTCACATGCATTTGTAATCACGGTAATATCTATTTGGTGCTTGATATGCGATTTTCGAGATTCATTCTATCATATAGATATCAATTAAATAGTATTATATAAAAACATATAGTATCATATAGAAAAATCATATCATATAGAATTATACAACATCATGTAGAAGCGAATGATAAAGTTGTGCGAAATTATACATTCTAACACAATACCGTTAAACTTGAGTAACGAATCTACAGATGCGTTTTTTCTTTCTAAAGGTAACGATGCTATGTTCCTCAACATTGCACTGCACATGTGCGGTCAAATAAAAATTCTGAAGGCTAATTTCATCAACATTGATGTTGTAAGTCCGCAGGTCTATGGTCATTTCAATGCGCTGATACGCAGACACAGTTACCTGATGAGGTTGTGTAAAAAGCTCGCCGAAACGGCCAGTTTCGTGTTGCTGATACAATTATTTGTTACGAGCATACTGTTGTGTATAATGGGTGAATATCGCTTATAACAGTGTTGCGAGAATAATCGTGTTATAGAGATTCGCATTAAACGACCAAGTATCTTTGCAGGATTCCAATTCATCTTAGCTTTGAAGAAGAATGACGCTGTTATGTTGGCAAAAAGTTGCGTGGTGCTCACTTCCTTTCTAACGCAAATTAGTGTTTATAGTTTTGTTGGAGATTACTTCAAAAGCCAAATGGAAGAAGTCGCGCTTTTCCTTTACCAGAGCATTTGGTACGATCTTCCGGTAAAGCTGATGAGGAACTTGACCTTCATTATCATGCGCTGTCAATCTCCTATCAAACTGCAAGCGGGAAATTTAATCGTGCTAAATCTCGAAACTTACATGAGCATTTTAAAGACCTCTATTTCGTATCTGTCTGTACTTCGCGTAATGGTGGATACGTAGAATACAATTGCAACGAGAGAATAAAATCTGCGAAATAAAATTATGTTAAGGTACAATACAGAGTCACGACTAACACGACGATCTACGGAAATAATAGTTTATAACATTATAAAATGTTATAATGTTATAATGTTATTTTAATAAAACCACTAATTGTAATTGCAACGAAGTCGTCTATTCGTGCCAAATGAACAGATTTTTCTCCTGCAGCAATCTACATACATATGTGCGTAAATTGCTGCGGAAAAGAGAAGAAGAAAATATGTGGACATCTTTGTTTCTGAAATAAAAGCCAACAGTTTTGATTGACACGTATAGGAAATACGATTTTTTCCCTGTCTTCTTCGATATTCACCCTTTTACGTTGTTCGGTATGGGCCGACCGTACGCCAGGCGCCGCGATAGTCGCGGGTGCGCGGGCATCCGATTCCCGGTGCTGATTCGCGCCGCGACGCGGCGACGGCTTCGTCGGGCCGTCACTCGCGGTTAAATTCTGACTCGCCTATGTAAGTCGCCGCACGCGACGACTCGACGCCTTTACATGCGCGTTGCTACTTGGATCAGTGCCTTTAGAATGTCCTTTTCGACACGTTGGTTTTCCTCGTCCGAGGTATTTTGGTAACTCCACAGACCCCCACCTTCTAGATATTACATGTGGTTGAGGGAAGGGTTCGCGAGATCTCTCTAGATTACCACCTTGTATTCTCCACCACAGGTGGGGATGGCTTCCTCTTGCAATATCTCAAGCACTACCGATATCGTGCATCTTTTGACAGGACTTCGTGACTGTCGCGCTTACTTCACAATCCACACAAGACTTAATCTCTCGCACCTGCGACTCTTACTGCGTGAGCCCAGCTCGCATCAAAGTCCGCACAGGACTTAGTCGCCGTCGCATCTGCGACATTCCTAACCCGAGTTTCCGTCGCGCCAGCAACAATCTACGCTCGCTTCTTAGTTTTTACAAGACTAGGCCTTCATCACTCCCGCGACTCCTCTCGCGTGAGCCTCTAAATCACAGGACTTTAGTCTCCGCCGCGCTAGCGGCATCATACACGCGAGCTACGGTCGCTCCCAAGTATACGAGACTCAGTTTCCGTCGTCTACGCGACTCTTCTATCCTCTAAAGGGAGATTTCTTCCCAGTGCGGAGGCGCCGGGCTACTCTTCATAAAGACATTTCCGAGACTTTGAAACCAAGTGCACTCGTGCCTATCCTTCACATCACCGTAAGAGGCTCCTGGATAGGAGGACACGAAAGTTAACTTGCGCGAACAACGTAGAAATCGATGGCAGTTCAGCCGCAACACGAACCGGCCGCTCTCCATCTCGGGCCGTTTGAAACACGTTGTTGTGAGATTGTTTTCACTCTCTTTAAGATAGCGACATTTAGCACGAGAATGCAACAAATATAGCATTACAAAACATTAGAGGTTAAAATTTGACAAAAAACTCATACAAATTATTCAAGATATGTGATACGAGAAATCAATTCACAATGAAGGTGGTATCAAAATTGACGAGCCAAAGGAAATGTCGTACAATCGACGAGCAAATAGGAATCAATACTGCCATTTGTAACAAAAATAACTTAACTTTCTTCTGTTATATTTTATAGTGATACACAAATTAATCCTCTAGCTATAGCGAAGCTGGCCGCAGCACTAAATCGCCAGTACGGACTTCTCTGCAACAATGTGCGTGTAAACGAAAATGCACTCAACTTTTAAAACCACGAAAACAAGTGAGATAATGACTTGGAAATTACTAAGAAATGATTTGGCGGAAAGCCACTTTAGTGGTGCTTTATCTCACAGAATGACTTATAGGAAAGCCAGTTTAGTGGCGCATAGTAATTAAAGAGTAAAATCTATAATAGAAGTAATATTAAAATTGCCAAGTCGAAAAAGACAATACACACACAATACACAAATAGAAAACAAGACAGTTCTGCCACTTGTGATGACAAAAAGGAATTCTTACCTCCTTTACAACAAAAAATACATAATATTCTAGTACATATGAAACAAGAAAGAAATGTGCTTCGACGGATGATAATTTCAAAAGTAGCATAGCTACATGAATTGTTATCCAAGATAGTTTCACGTAAAAGCGACTACTTTTCTGCAATTTGCGACAATGCGTGCATCATGAGCGTCTGGCAAATGGATATCCATCTCGAGATGAATAAAAAATGACACGTAATATTTGCGTGGCTTTGATGTAGCGAGCGTATCATCGGTTATTGGCGACAGTTACCGCCATTACCTCGACTCGATGACTAGTGAGCAATGGAAAAAGGATATCGCATACGCGATGACTCCCTTCAAACAGTTAACATGGGTCAACGGAGTTTGGCCCCTTCAAGATTATAACATCTTTTCGCTAATACGATTTTATTTCGCTACATTTTGCATGGTACGTATTCTTTGAGTTGGACTTCAGTGAACCTTGACACGCAGTTCGTTCAACGTAGAGAGATCGAGCTTTCGCATCAACATCGTCATGCTATAGACAAAGTTTCGGTGTCGCGATAACATTGTCAAATATTTGTTTCCTCTTCGATCATTGAACTACGTTAATTAATAGTGCATTAACTACCGCTAATTACTAGTGCAGACCGTGAAATGATTTCTTCGATGGTGACAAAATTACAATTAAGTGTCTCATAGACGAATGCAGTCGTGAGCTATCAAAAATTAACCTACAAAGATCTTTCTTTCATTCGTAAGGTTCACCATATCTATTTTACGTTCTTGTTTGTGGTTAGATTAACCATTTCTGAGAAATTCGAGGTATAACGTATTTTATGGGTCACTCAGTTCAGGATACTAACGTTAGCGACTATCAATCATATTGACATGATAGTCCTTTGATAGCACATATCGTGTGCGAAACAAACTAGATACGCGAATTCTCGTTAATAGTTCAGTCTTTGATAGATCAGTCGTTAATAGATCTTACTATCACGCATATCAACAGATTACTTGCGCGGTCTTGCCATTCATCGAACTTCAAATGGGCTGCACCGACGCGGAGGAAAACGTAGACAGTCTAATGTTTATCTGTTGCGGGGTGGTCTCTACAGTGAAGACTATATGTTTCCGCATTTACGCGAACAACTTGATCGACACTTACAGCGCCGCTGTAGATGATTATCAGACAATCGACAACCTGGGACAGCGTAAAATCATGAGGAGATTCGCTTTTATTGGCAGAACGCTCGCCTGTTTCATGGTGTGCTTTGCTTACTTCGCTTGCGCCGTTTACACGTTAATTCCGCTTCTCGGTGACGAGCCGATTAATCAGCTCAACGTAACGGACGAGAACAATGTTGAGCTAGACTATACGATACCGTCTAGATGCACCTTGGAATACTTCCATGCCCCGACGAGCATGTACAAAATTATTACCCTTACCGAATCTTTTATAATGGCACTCACGTGCACTTGTAACCATGGTAATATCTATTTGGTTTATCTGCTTAATTCTGCATGCGGTTTTCATTCAAGATTCATTCTATCATATATTAGACAGTATTATATAAAATCATATAATATCATAGTATCATATAAAAAATCATTTATCATATAGAATTATACAAATCATGTAGAAGCAAAACAAATGATAAAATTGTGCGAAATTACACATTCTAACACAATACCGCTAAACTTGTGTAAAAAATCTACAGATGCGTTTCTTCTTTCTAAAGGTAACGATGCTATGTTCCTCAACATTGCACTGCACATGTGCGGTCAAATAAAAATTCTGAAGGCTAATTTCACCAACATTGATGTTGTAAGTCCACAGGTTTATAGTAATTTCAATGCGCTGATACGCAGACACAGTAACCTGATGAGGTTGTGTAAAAAGCTCGCCGAAACGATCAGTTTCGTGTTGCTGACACAATTATTTATTACGAGCATACTGTTGTGTATAATGGGTGAATATTATATCGCTTATAGCAGTGTTGCAAAAATAAACGTGTTACATTACAGGATCTGGATTAAATAACTAAATATGCTTGCAGGATTCCAATTTATCTTAGCCTTGAAGAAGAACGACGCTGTTATGCTGGCAAAAAGTTGCGTGGTGCTTGCTTCCTTTCTAACGCAAATTAGTGTTTACAGTTTTGTCGGAGATTACTTCAAATGTCAGATGGAAGAAATCGCGCTTTTCCTTTACCAAAGTACTTGGTACGATCTTCCAGCGAAGCTGACGAGGAACTTGACATTCATCATCATGCGCGCTCAGTCTCCTATCAAGCTGCAAGCAGGAAACTTTATCGTGGTAAACCTTGAAACTTACATGAGCATTCTAAAGACCTCTATTTCGTATTTGTCTGTACTTCGTGTAATGGTGGATACGTAGAGTACAACAAGTGCAACGAGAGAATAAAATCTACAAAGTAAAATTATGTTGAGATACAATATAGAGTCGCGTCCAACACGACGATCTGCGGAAGCAAGAGTTTAGTATAATGTTATTTTAATAAAACCGCTAATTGTAGTTGTAACGCAATCGTCTATTCGTGCCAAATCGATTTTTCTCGCACAGTAGTCTACACGCATATGTACACTTGGAAAAGAGAAAAAGAAAATTTGTCGACATCTTTTTTTCGACAAATAAAATCCTACAGTGTTGGCTCATACGTATAGGAAATATAGTTTTTCCCTTGTCTCCTTCGATATTCACCCTTTCACGTTATCGTGATGAAATTGTTTTCACTGTCTCTTTAAGATAGCGATATTTTGCACAAAAATGCAACAAAGATAGCATTAGAGGATGAAATTTCATAAAAAAGACTTATACAGATTAAAGATACAAATTTAAAGATACAAGAAATCAATCCACAATGAAAGTAGTATCAAAATTGATGAACCAAAGGAAATGTCGTACAATCGACGAGGAAACAATACTGCCATTTCACGAAAATAACTTAACGTTCTTCTGTTGTATTTCATGGTGATGCACATATTAAAGCTATAATGAAAGTAATATCAAAATTGCGAAGTCGAAAAACACGTCACACAATACACAAATAGAAAACAAGACACTTCCACTGACACTCGTGATGGCAGAAAGAAATTCTTCTCTTTTCTACAACTAAAGACAGATAACATTCTACATATGCAACAAAAAGGAAAAGTAATGCTTCGGCAATTTCAAAAGTAGCATAGTTACATGAATTTTTACCCAGGAATATTTCATGTAAAGCGACTTTCCTACAATTTGCGACAATGTGTGCATCAAGAGCGTAAAAGCGACTTGGCAAATGGACATCCACTTCGAGATGAATAAGAAATGATTCATAACACTCGCTTTGATGTAGCGAGCGTATCATCGGTTATTGGCGACAGTTATTGCCATTACTTCGACTCGATGACTAGCAAGCAATGGAATAAAGATATCGCGTACGCGATGACTCCCTTCAAGCTGTTAACGTGGATCAATGGAGTTTGGCCCCTTCAAAATCACAACATCTATTCGCTAATACGATTTTATTTTACTACATTTTGTATGGTACGTATTCTTTGAGTTGGACTTCAGTGAACCTTGACACGCAGTTCGTTCAACGTAGAGAGATCGAGCATTCGCATCAACATCGTCATGCTATAGACAAAGTTTCGGTGTCGCGATAACATTGTCAAATGTTTAAGTTTGTTCTCCGATTATTGAGCAACCCATTAATTAATAGTGCAGATCGTGAAATGATTCCTTAGATGATGATAAAATTAAGATTCAATGTCTCATAGACGAATACAGTTGTAAATTATCCAAAATTAACCTATAAAGATCTTCCTTTCATTTATAAGATTTATTATATTTACTTTATGTTCTTGCTTGTGGTTAACTTAACCATTTCTGAAAAAATTCGAAGTATAGCGTACTTTATGTATCACTCAGTTCAAGATGTTAACGTTAGCGACTATCTATCGTATTGATATAATAATCCTTTGATAGTTTATATAGTGTGCAAAATAAACTAGACACGCGAATTCTCATTAATAGATCAGTCCTTGCAATATCTTACTATCATGCAAATCAACAGATTATAGTAGTAATTTTGCCTTTCATCGAACTTCAAACGGGCTGCACCGACGCGGAGGAAAACGTAGACTGCCTAATGATCATCTGTTGTGGACTGATCTCTGCAGTGAAGAACATATATTTTCGCATTTACGCGAACAACTTGATCGACACTTATAGCGCCGCTGTAGATGATTATCGGACAATCGACAACCCGGGACAGCGTAAGATCATGAGGAGATTCGCTTTTATTGGGAGGACGCTCGCCTGTTTCATGGTGTGCTTTGCTTACTTCGCTTGCGCCGTTTACACGTTAATTCCTCTTCTGGATGATAAGCCGATTAATCAGCTCAACGTAACGGACGAGAACAATGTTGAGTTGGACTATACGATACCGTCTAGATGCACCTTGGAGTACTTCCATATTCCGTCGAGCATGTACAAAATTATCAACTTCATCGAATCTTTTATGATGACACTCACGTCCACTTGTAACCATGGTAATATCTTTTGGTTTATCTTAACATCTGCATGCAATTTTCGGGATTTATTATATCATATACTAGATAGTATTATATAGAATCTTATAGTATCATATAAAAAATCTTATTTTATAAAATTATACAATATCATATAAAAGCAACACAAATGAAACAGTTAGTGCGAAATTATACATTCTAACATAATACCACTTAAGTTGTGTAAAGAATCTACAGATGCGTTCCTTCTTTCTAAAGGTAACGATGCTATGTTCCTCAACATTGTACTGCACATGTGCGGTCAAATAAAAATTCTGAAAGCTAATTTCACCAACATTGATGTTGTAAGTCCACAAGTTTATAGTAATTTCAATGCGCTGATACGCAGACACAGTTATCTGATAATGTTGTGTAAAAAGCTCGCCGAAACGATCAGTTTCGTGTTGCTGACACAATTATTTATTACGAGCATACTGTTGTGTATAATGGGTGAATATTATATCGTTTATAACAGTGTTGCAAAAATAAACGTGTTACATTACAGAGATCTGGATTAAATGGCTAAATATATTTGTAGGATTCCAATTTATCTTAGCCTTGAAGAAGAATGACGCTGTTATGCTGGCAAAAAGTTGCGTGGTGCTTGGTTCCTTTCTAACGCAAATTAGTGTTTATAGTTTTATCGGAGATTATTTCAAATGCCAGATGGAAGAAGTCGCGCTTTTCCTTTACCAGAGCACTTGGTACGATCTTCCAGCGAAGTTGAAGAAGAACTTGACTTTCCTCATCATGCGCGCTCAGTTTCCTATCAAACTGCAAGCTGCAAACTTTATCGTGATAAACCTCGAAACTTACATGAGCATTCTAAAGACCTCTATTTCGTATCTGTCTGTACTTCGCGTAATGGTAGATACGTAGAGTACATCAAGTACAACAACAGAATAAAATCTACGAAGTAAATTTATATTGAGATACAATGACAGAGACAGAGTCGCGTCCAACACAACGATTTGCGGAAGCAAGAGTTTAGCATAATGCTATTTTAATAAAACCACTAATTGTAGTAACGCAATCGTCTATCCGTGCCAAGTCAATAGATTTTTCTCGCACAGTAGTCTACACGCATATATATACTTGGAAAAGAGAATAAGAAAATATGTCGACATCTTTGTTTCGACAAATAAAACCCTAAAGTTTTGACTCACACGTATAGGAAATACGATTTTTTCCCTGTCTCTTTAATATTCACCCTTTCACGCTATCATGACACTGTCTCTTTGAGATAGTGACATTTTGCACGAAAATGCAACGAAGGTAGCACTGTTGAAGCATTCGAAGATGAAAATGGTAATATTGCTTGTAGTCACAACACTGTCGTGCCGAATCAAGTGTTATTTTGCATTAATACAGTTTTCTCTTATGTAGAAGAGTACAAACTTATGTATACTACTTGAAAGAAAAAAGATTGAAGTGAAACCCTATAGTACTAATTTATATATATTTTTCGTGAGAAATACAGTTTTTCTCTTGTCTCTTTCAATATTCACCCTTCTGCGTGACAACTTGCTTTTACCCCGTTTTTGTAGGAGACATTTTGCACAAAATTACAATGGAAAGAACACCGTTGTAACATTAAATGTTGAAATGTTATAATACTTACAGTGCTTATATCACAGACTTTCATGGTAAAGTTATTCTGACTCGATTCCATATCCACGCATTTTTTATATTAACAACGGACAAGCTCGCCAGTGTCACTTTGATACAATATATTTCTCTACACTGTGTATGACACACGTTCAAGACGTAGGGATAAGCTGCTATATGGCTATACATTCTTCGTGTTAAATAAAAAACGAACATGAAATATCATAATGTCAAGTGAATTCTTCTCCAGCAAGAATTCTGCGTAAATGCATAATTCGCTGCATTTTTTGACGATGCGCACATTAGGGGTATGGGAATAGTTTCATAAGCATGTGCAAGGTTCATAGTGAATAAAAAATAAACCGGAATATATGGCATGAGGAACCTATTGCAACCGTATAGTCGATCATTGGTGGCAGTTACAGTCGTTGTTTCAACTCAATGGCAAAAGAACGATGGAACGACGATATCGCGTACGCGATGACACCTTTCAAACTGCTAATGTGGCCCGTGGGTGGTTGGCCACTTCAAGTTTATAACACTTATTCGTTAATGCGATGCGTGGCAGTTACTTGCAGCGTGGTATGTATATTTCAAATCGAATATCGACGCTCTTCAAAGTCAGATCAACGTTTATATATGCTCTATCCTTTAAAGTAGCTTTAAACAAAACAGGTATCGCGATATCTAATGCTTATTTTAGAACATTAACCACTCCAACTTTTGCTAATCGTGGCATTAAAACATTTTTTTGGATAGAAAAGTTTTCGGATAAAAGTAGAATTATAGAATAAATATATATAAATTAAATATTACCGAAGAACCAAAGTTGGAGTATACTTTTGTAAACATAATGTACATAACAAAATATCTCATTTACACATATTAACAGAGTATATTCGTAATCCTGCCTTCCATCGAGATTTACTTAGGCTGCACCAACGCGGTGCAAAACGTTGACGCTGTCATGTCAATTTTTTGTGGGTCACTCGCTACGATGAAGATGATATGGTTCCGCATTTACGCGAGCAACTTAATCAAGGCTTACAAATGCGCTGTAAATGATTACCTGACTATCGAAAACGCAGAGCAGCGTGCCATTATGTTAAAACACGCTTTCATAGGAAGGACCCTTATGTGCACCATAATGTCCATCGTTTTCATCGACTGTTTTGTGTATTCGTTGATGCCTGCTCTGAATCTCCTCAGAAAGAACGAAATCAACGAAACACAGGAAGAGGTTGAGCTGGAGTATATTATACCATCAAGATGTGCTTTGGAATATTTGAATCCAAGGAATATGTACGTTACAAGCTACATGATGGAAACAATCATACTGTTATTTATGGCTCCTAGCAACTACGGTAGTACCTATTTTTCCTATGTAATATTTTTTTATATATAATGCTTTCTTTCCATTCTCAAAATTCATGCATATATTGTAAATTTCTGCGTACAATTTGTTTAAATATAATGCAAATGTTTACAATTAAAATTGAATACCGATGTGTCCTCACATCAAAAACTATTCACTTCGTAAAGGTAACGACATACTGTTTCTACATATGGTGCTGCACATTTGTGGCCAAGTAAAAATCTTGAAGTCCAAGTTTATCAATTTTGACTTCGCGGGGCCACAAGTCCACAATCGTTTTAACGCGCTAATTCACCGACATAGTCATTTGATGGAGATGACCAAAAAACTTGCCGACGTGTCCAGTTTCATATTGCTGATGCAATTCTTTTTTAGTAGCTTGCTATTATGTATACTAGGTAATTATTTGATCAGTTATAAAACAATTAACCGGTTAACAAACAAACAAAACGTTTTATAAAACAAATTTGACGATTATACTATAATTTTAAACGGAATTTTGCGAACATTTTTACAAATATATTATGATTACTTTACGTTTTGATTAAATATTTTATGATTACTTCCATAGGTTTGCAATTTATTTTGGCGTTAAAAGATAATGATCGTGTTATGATGATGAAAAGCTCCATGGCTCTTTACAGTTTTCTGACACAATTGACGATATATTGCGTTATCGGAGATTATTTGAAATCCCAAATTGAAGAAGTGGGTGTTTTTGTTTATCAGAGCACATGGTACAATCTTCCTGCAAAGCTGACGAAAAATTTGACTTTACTCATTATGCGGTCTCAGTCTCCCGTTCAGCTGCAAGCGGGAAATTTCATCGTAGTAAACCTCGAAACTTATATGAGCATTCTAAAAACTTCAATCTCTTATCTGTCAGTACTTCGAGTAATGGTGGAAATATAAGAAGTCACATTTATAGAAAACAAACTTTACTAGACTTAGCTTTAAATCTATGCGACTTTTTTGGAACTAATTTTAAAGAGATAGAGTTCTCTGTGGAAGAAAGAGTTAGTATAATGTTATTTCAATAAACTATTAATTTTAGTCACAACGCAGTCATCCATTCGTGCCAAATCGATAGCTTGTTCCCTCAAACAATAGAGTATAAACACATATATACTTAAAAAAAGTGTGTCGATACATTTTTCCGACAAATAAAACACTATTTATGATTTATATATTTCCTGTGAGAAATATAGTTTTCCCTTCGTTTCTTTAGATATTCACCCTTCCGCAGTGCCATTACAACTTTCTTTCACCGGCTCATTAAGACATTATGCACGAAAATGCAATAGAGATAGCATAGTTGAGGCATTAGATGCTGGAACGTAATGAAATTCGTAGAGACTATCGTCGACTTCCATGAAAGAGTCTATTTTGATTCCGATCCACGTCGACGCAATTTTGTTGCGCACAAGGCACAAGCACGCTAGACACTTCTATCTAGTACATTTCTCAACATAGTGTATAACATACGCGTTCAAGGCAGAGGGGCAAGCTGATGGGCGGCTATACATCTCGTATGTTAAATAAAAAATGAATAGTAATATAGATTATCACAATGTTATCAAATGAGCCAACAATAATTCAACGTAAAAGCGTAGTTTGATACATTTTTCGACGATGCGCACATTGAAATCATAGAAATAATTCATTAGCGTGTGCAAGAGTCGAAGTGAATAAAAGATAAACCGGAATATACGGCATGGATAGAATGTTGTAACCATATCGTTGATCATTGACGACAGTTACAATCATTATTCCTACCCAATGGCAAATGAACGATGGAATGACGATATCGCGTACGCGATGACCCCCTTCAAACTGTTAATGTGGCCTGTGGGTGGTTGGCCACTCCAAGTTTATAACGTTTATTCGCTTATGCGATGTCTTGCAGTTACTTGCAGCATGGTGTGTATCTTTCAAGTCGAATACCGACTCTCTTCGACTGTCGTAATCATTTGTAGATAAAGGTCAATGTTTATACGTTTCTCTCTTACTTTCTTTCTCGCCTCTCTCTTTAGAGTAACTTTAAACAAAACTGGTATCATAATGTTTATTATCTAGTTTTAGAACTTTACACGCTTCAACTTTTGATAATCGAGACACCGAAACTGTTTTTGGATGGAAAAAGTTTTCAGATCAGAGTAGAATTTAAATATTGTATAATTTGGCATAAAAAAGTTAAGACTGTGTGTGAGCGGATATTTTATTACTACCTGAATACTTCGATTTTCTCATAACTGAAGACCGTATGTGAAAAGATCAACACAAAAATGTCTGGAATTAATTATTAACTTTGTTTGATGATCATTCTATACTTCAATTAATCTTGTTATAAACTTTAAAAATCGTTGTAAATCAGAGTCTAAAAAATATTGTGTACAATTGAATATTGCTGAAAAATGGAAGAATTAAGGTTCGAGTTTATTTTCGTAAACATAATGTACATGACAAAATATATTGTTTATATATATTAATAGAGCATAATAGTGATCCTGCCGTTCATCGAGATCTACTTAGGCTGTACCGACGCGGTGCAAAATGTTGACGCTCTCATGACAATGTTTTGTGGATTGCTTTCCTTGACGAAAATGATATGGTTCCGCATTTATGCGAACAACTTAATCAAGATTTACAAATGTGCCGTGAACGATTACTTGAAGATTGAAAACACAGAGCAACGTGCCATTATGATAAGGCACGCTTTTATAGGAAGGACTCTCATGTGCACCATGATATCCATCATTGTCTTCGAGTGTTTTATATATGCGTTGATGCCTATTCTATATCTTCTCAGAAAAAATCAAATCAACGAAACACAAGAAGATGTTGAGTTAGAATATATAATACCATCAAGATGTGCTTTTGAATATTTGAATATATCAAAGAACATGTATATTGTAAACTACGTGATGGAACTAATCATACTGTTATTCACGGCTCCTTGCAATTACGGTAGTATCTACTTCTCGTACGTAATATTTTCTTGGCATTATCTAATATTCTGCATACATTGTAAATTCTGTATATAATTTGTGTAAATATAATGCAAATGTTTACCTTGAAAATATATACCGATTTGATCTTCACGCCTAAAGCTATTCACTTCATAAAGGTAACGACTCTCTGTTTCTACATATGGCGTTACACATTTGCGGCCAGGTGAAAATACTGAAGTCCAAAATCATCAATTTGGACTTTGCAAGGCCACAAATTCACAATCGTTTCAACGCAATAATTCATCGACATAGTCACCTAATGCAGTTGACCACAATACTTGCCGAGGCGTCCAGTTTCATATTATTGACGCAATTCTTTCTTAGTAGCTTGCTGTTATGTATACTAGGTAAATATTTGATCAATTATAACGCTTCATAGAACAAATAATTGGCGATTATGTCATAAATTTATATAGATTTCTGTAAAAATATATACGGCAATATAATTGTTTTCCATTTTAATTAAATACTTTATAAGTAATTCCGCAGGTTTTCAATTTATTTTGGCATTAAAAGATAACGACAGTGTTATGATGATAAAAAGTTTTTTGGCTCTTAACAGCTTTCTCGCACAAGTGACGACATACTGTGTTATCGGAGATTATTTAAAATCACAAATGGAAGAAGTGGGTGTCGTTATTTATCAAAGTACATGGTACGATCTTCCTACAAAGCTGACGAAAAATTTGACTCTTCCAATTATGCGGTCTCAATCTCCCGTCCAGCTACAAGCGGGAAATTTCATCGTAGTGAACCTCCAAACATATATGAACATTCTAAAGACCTCCATCTCTTATCTGTCAGTACTTCGAGTAATGATAGAAACATAAGAAGTCACATTTATAGAAAACAAATTGTACAAGTTATAAATCTATGAAATTCGGAAATAATTTCGGGAAGATAAAAGTCTGTCTGGAAAAAAGAGATTAGTATAATGTTATTTCAATAAAACAGTAAATAATTTTAGTGATAACGCTGTTATTAATTCATGCTAAATCAATAGTTTCTTTCCTCACACAACAGTACAATAGCACAGTATAAACACATGTACACTTAAAAAAGAAATAAACAGTGTCAATATATTTTTTCCGACACTGTGAAACACTATTTTTAATTCATACGTACTTATTGTAAAAAACATTGTTATTCCTTCATCTTCCGATATTTACCCTTCCGCGTTTCTGTGATAGCTTTTTTTAACGTCTCATTGAGGCATTATGAACGAAAATGCAGTAGAGATAACACATTAAATGCTGGAACGTGTTAAGATTCATAGAGACTATCGCAGAAGTTTATGACACAGTCGTTTTGAGTAAACTCGACGCCGACGCAATTTTGATGCGCTCGACGGAAAAGCTCGCTCTAGCCACTTCTATGTAATATATTTCTCTAGGCAGAGTATAGCACGTGTTCAAGACATAAGGACAAGCTGATGGGTGGCTATACATCTCGTATATATAGCCACCTTTAAATAAAAAACGAATAGTAATATAGATTATCACAATGTTATAAAATGAGTCAACAACAATTCATGGTAAAAGCGTAATTCGATTACATTTTTCGACGATGCGCACATTGAGATCATAGAAATAGTTCCACTAGCTTGTATAAGAGTCGAAATGAATAAAAGATAAACCGTAATATACGGCATGAACAGACTATTGTAACCATATCGTCGACCATTGGCGACAGTTACAGATATTATTCCAACCCAATGGCAGCTGAACGATGGAACGACGATATCGCGTACGCGATGACCCCCTTCAAACTGCTAATGTGGCCCGTGGGTGATTGGCCACTCCAAGTTTATGACGTTTATTCGCTTATGCGATACGTTACAGCTATTTGCGGCATGGTATGTATCTTTCAAGTTGAATACTGACGCTCTATGACGGTTGTAGTTGCTTGTAGACAAAAATAGGTAAATGTTTTAATGCTTCTCTCTCTCTTTTTCTCTTTCGCCTCTCTTTTTAAAGTAATTCTAAACAAAACTGGTATTACAATGTTTAATATCTAGTTTTAGAACTTTACACGCTTCAACTTTTGATAATCGAAACACTCTTCGGATAGAAGTTTTCAAGTAAAAATAGAATTTTAATGTTGTATAATTTGGCATAAAAAATACTGTGTGTGAGCGGATATTTTATTACTACCTTAATACTTTGATTTTCTTATAAAACTGCAGATTGAAACGATCAACAGAAATGTTTGGAATTATTAACTTTGCCTGCTGATTGTTCTGTATTTAATTAATTATGTATTTAAATCTTGTTAAAAATTTTGTATTTAAATCTTGTTATAAATCTTAAAAGTCATTGTAAATCAGAGTCTAAAGAATACTGTGTAAAATTTAAATATTGCTGAATAACGGAAAGAATTTAGGTTGGAGTTTATTTTCGTAAACATAATGTATATGACAAAATATATTGTTTACATATATTAATAGAGCATAGCAGTGATCCTGCCGTTCATGGAGATCTACTTAGGCTGTACTGACGCGGTGCAAAATGTTTTCGCTCTCATGGTAATCAGTTGTGGATTGCGCGGCATTACGAAAATGATATGGTTCCGCATTTACGCGAGCAGCTTAATCAAGATTTACAAATGCGCCATAAACGATTACTTGACGATTGAAAACGGAGAGCAGCGTGCCATTATGCTAAGACACGCTTTTATAGGAAGGACCCTCATGTACACTACGGTATCCTTCATTGTCTTCGTGTGTTTCACATATGCGTTGATACCTATTCTACATCTTCTCAGAAAGAACTAAATCAACGAGACACAAGAAGATGTTGAGCTGGAATATTTAATACCATCAAGATGTGCTTTCGAATATTTGAAAGTATCAAAGGACATGTATATTGCGAACTACATTATGGAACTAATCATTGCGTTATTCATGAGTCCTAGCAACTACGGTAGTATCTACTTTTCATACGTAATATTTTGTTTCCATTATCTAATATTATGCATATATTGTAAATTCTGCGTATAATTTTTGTAAATATAATACAAATGTTCACTTTAAAAGTGTATGCCGATGTTGTCTTTATGCCTAAAGCTATTCACTTCGTAAAGATAACGACTCTCTGTTTCTACATATGGCGTTACACATTTGCGGCCAGGTGAAAATCCTGAAGTCCAAAATCATCAATTTGGATCTCGCAATGCCACAAATTGACAATCGTTTCAACGGGCTAATTCATCGACATAGTCATTTAATAGAGATGACTAAGATACTTGCCGAGGTGTCCAGTTTCATATTACTGTTGGAGTTCTTTTTTAGCAGCTTGCTGTTCTGTGTAGCAGGCAAATATTTGATCAGTTATAACATTTTATAAAACAAAAAATTGATGATTATACCATAAATTTATACAGATTTCTGTAAAAATATATACAGCAATATAATTGTTTTCCAATTTAATTAAATATTTTGTAACTATTTTCGCAGGTTTTCAATTTATTTTGCATTAAAAGATAACGACAGTGTTATGATCATAAAAAGTTTAATAGCTCTTAATAGTTTTCTGGGACAAATAACGATATATTGTATTATTGGAGATTATTTGAAATCCCAGATGGAAGAAGTGGGTGTTTTCATTTATCAGAGCACATGGTACGATCTCCTTACAAAGTTGACGAAAAACATGATTCTTCCCATTATGCGGTCTCAATCTCCAATCCAGCTACAAGCGGGAAATTTCATCGAAATAAACCTTCAAACATATATGAACTTTCTAAAGACTTCCATCTCTTATCTGTCAGTACTTCGAGTAATGGTGGAAACATAAAAAATTACATTTACAGAAAACAAATTGTACAAGTAGTTAAATTTATGAGATTCAGAAATAATTTCAGAGAGACAAAAATCTGTCTAGAAAAAAGAGATTAATATAATGTTATTTCAATAAAACTGTAAATAATTTTAGTCATAAATTAGTTATTAATTTGTGTTAAATTAATAGTTACTTCTCTCACACAATAGCATATAAACACACGTACACTTAAAAAATAAATAAACAGTGTCGATATATTTTTTAGGACACTATAAAACACTATTTTTTAAATTCATACGTACTTCTTGTAAAAAATATAATTTTTTCTACGTCTTTCGATATATACTTTTCCGATATATACGTTCCTGTGATAATTTTCTCTCACCATCTTATTGAAACATGCACGAAAATGCACATTAGATGCTGGAATGTGATAAAATTCATAGAGACTACCGCAGAAGTTTATGACACAGTTGTTTTGAGTAAACTCGATGCCGACGCAATTTTGATGCGCTCGACGGAAAAGCTCGCTGTAACCACTTCTGTGTAATGTATTTCTCTACAGAGTGTATAACACGTGTTCAAGACACAAGGATGAGCTGATGGACGGCTATACATCCCGCGTATTAAATAAAAAACGAATAGTAATATAGATCATCACAATGTTATCAAATGAGCCAGTAAAATTCTAGGTAAAGGTGTAATTCGATACATTTTTCGACGATGCGCACATTGAGTTCATAGAACTAGTTCCATTAGTGTGTACAAGAGTCAAAGTGAATAATATATAAACCGGAATATACGGCATGGGCAAACTGCTGTAACCGTATCGTCGATCATTGGTGACAGTTACAGTCATTATTTTAACTCAATGGCAAAAGAACGATGGAATCGAAGAACGATGGAATCGAAGAACGACGATATCGTGTATGCGATGACCCCCTTCAAACTGCTAATGTGGCCAGTGGGTGGTTGGCCACTCCAAGTTTACAACGTTTATTCGCTTATGCGATGCGTTACAGTTATTTGCGGCATAGTATGTATCTTTCAAGTTGAATACGGACGCTCTTCGACTGTCGTAGTCATTTGTAGATAAAGACAGGTTAATGTTTACATATTTCTTGCTCTCTTTGAAGTAACTTAAAACAAAACTGGTATCACGATGCCTAATGTTTGAAATTTATACTTCAACTTTTGGTAATCGAGAAACTGAAACACTTTTTGAATGGAATAATTTTTCAGATCACAGTAGAATTTTAATATTGTACAATTTGGCATAAAAAAATTAACATTGCGTGTAAGCGGATATTTTATTACTATCTTAAAACTTTGATTTTTCCATAAAAGTGCAGACTGTATGAAATGATCAACACAAAAATGTTTGGAATTAATTATTAGCTTTGTCTGATGATTGTACTGTGCTTAATTTAATTTAATTTTTGGTTACAAACATTAAAAGTCGTTGTAAATCAAAATTTAAAGAATATTGTGTAAAATTATAAATTACCCGAAAACGGAAAAATTAATGTTGGAATTTATTTCGTAAACATAATGTACAAAATATATTGTTTACATATATTAATAGAGCATTGCAATGACCCTGCCGTCCATCGAGATTTATTTAGGCTGTACCGACGCGGCGCAAAATGTTGAAGCTCTCATGATAATGTCTTGTGGATTACTCTGCATTATAAAAATGATATGGTTTCGCATTTACGCAAACAACTTAATCAAGATTTACAAATGTGCCACGAACGATTATTTAACAATTGAAAATGCGGAGCAGCGTGCTATTATGCTAAGGCACGCTTTTATAGGAAGGACTCTTATGTGTACCATAATATCCATCATTGTCTTTGATTGTTTAATGTATTCCTTGATGCCTATTTTACACCTTCTCAGAAAGAACCAAATCAACGAAACACATGAAGATGTTGAGTTTAAATATATAATTCCATCAAGATGTACTTTTGAATATTTGAATATATCAAAGAACATGTATATTTTCAACCACATAATGGAATTAATTATAATGTTTTTCATGATTCCTGGCAATTACGGTAGTATCTACTTTTTGTATGTAATATTTTGTATGTAATATTTTCTTCGCATTATCTAATATTATGCATATATTATAAGTTCTGTATATAATTTGTGTAAATATAGTGCAAATATGCACTTTAAAAATGCATACTGATGTTGTCTTCACGCCTAAAGCTATTCACTTCGTAAAGGTAACGACTCTCTGTTTCTACATATGGCGTTACACATTTGCGGCCAGGTAAAAATTCTAAAGTCCAAGGTTATCAATTTGGACCTCGCAGGACCACAAATCCAAAATCGTTTCAACGCACTAATTCACCGACATTGTCATTTAATGGAGATGACCAAGATGCTAGCCGAAGCGTCCAGTTTCATATTACTGATACAACTCTTTCTTAGTAGCTTGCTGTTATGTATACTAGGTAATTATTTAATCAGTTATAACACTTTATAAAACAAATAATTGATGATTATACCATAAATTTATACAGATTTCTGTAAAAATATATACGGAAATATGATTGTTTTCCATTTCAATTAAATATTTTCTAACGATTTCCGCAGGTTTTCTATTTATTATAGCGCTAAAAGATAACGACAGCGAAATGACGACAAAAAGTTTTGTAGCTATTAACGGCTTTTTGGTACAAGTGATGCTATATTGTGTTATCGGAGACTATTTAAAATCCCAAATGGAAGAAGTGGGTGCTTTTATTTATCAGAGCGCATGGTACAATCTTCCTGCAAAGCTAATGAAAAACTTGACTCTTCTTATTATGCGGTCTCAATTTCCCGTACAGCTGCAAGCGGGAAATTTCATTGTAGTGAACCTTCAAACCTATATGAGCATTCTAAAAACCTCAATCTCTTATCTGTCAGTACTTCGAGTAATGGTAGAAAAATAAGTAGACATATTTATAGAAAATAAATTGTATAAGTTATAAATCTATGAAATTTGGAACTAATTTCGGAGATAAAACTTTTACTGGAAGAAGATTAGTATAATATTATTTATAAATTAATATTATTATAAAATATTATGAATAAAATAGTCAACTTTAGTCATAATACAGTTACTATGTCGTGCCAAATCAATAGTTTCTTCCCTCACACAATAGCGTATAAACATATGTACCCTTAAAAAAAAAAAATAAACCGTGTCGATATATTTTTTTCTACACTATAAAGCACTATTTTTAATTCATACGTATTTCTTGTACACAGTTTTTTCTTCGTCTTTCCATATTTACCCTTCCACGTTTCTACGATAATTTACTCTTACCTCATCTTTTTTCACTCTGATCTTCTCTGCCCGTCCCATTGAGACATTATGCACGAAATTGCAATAGAGATAGCACAGTTGAAGCATTAAATGTTGGAACGTGATGAAATTCATAGAGACTATCGCATAAGTTTATGACACAGTTGTTTTGAGTAAACTCGACGCCGACGCAATTTTGATGCGCTCGACGGAAAACGTTCACTCCAGCCACTTCTATGTAATATATTTCTCTAGGCAGGGTATAACACGTGTTCAAGACGTAAGGGCAAGCTGATGGGCCGCTATACTCGTATGTTAAATAAAAAACAAATAATATAGATTATCACAATGTTATCAAATGAGCCAACAACAATTCAAGGTAAAAGCATAATTCGATTACATTTTTCGACGATGCGCATATTGAGATCAAGAAAATAGTTCCATTAGCGTGTGCAAGAGTCGAAGTGAATAAAAGATAAACCAGAATATACGACATGAATAGACTGTTGTAACCGTATCGTCAACCACTGGCGACAATTACAAGCATTATTACAACCCAATGGCAGGTGAACGATGGAACAACGATATCGCATATGCGATGACCCCCTTCAAACTGCTAATGTGGCTAATGGGTGGTTGGCCATTCCAAGTTTACAACGTTTATTCGCTTATGCGATGCGTTACAGTAATTTGCGTTCTGGTGTGTATCTTTCAAGTCGAATATTGACGCTCTACGACGTAGTCGTTTCTAGACGAAGACAGGTCAATTTTATATGTTTCTGTTTCTTGTTTTTGAACTTTATATGCTTCAACTTTTGATAATCCAAGCACTGAAACACTTTTCGGGTGGAAAAAGTTTTCGGATAACAGTAGAATTTTAATATTGTATAATTTAGCATAAAAACATTAACACTGTGCGTGAGCAAATATTTTATTACTATCTTAATATTTTGATTTTCTTATAAAAGTGCAGACTGTATGAAATAATCAACACAGAAATGTTTGGAATTAATTATTAGCTTTGTCTGGTAATTGTTCTGTACTTAATTTAATCTTGTTACAAACCTTAAAAGCCGTTGTAAATCAGAATTTAAAGAATATTGTGTACAATTAAATATTGTCGAAAAGCGGAAGAATTAAAGTTGGAGTATATTTTCGTAAACATAATGTACATGACAAAATATATTGTTTACATATATTAATAAAGCATAACAGTGATCCTGCCGTTCATGGAGATTTATTTAGGCTGTACCGACGCGGTACAAAATGTTGAAGCTCTCATGACAATGTCTACTGGATTGCTTTGCATTATAAAAATGATATGGTATCGCATTTACGCGAGCAACTTAATCAACGTTTATAAATACGCCGTGAACGATTACTTGACGATTGAAAACGCAGAGCAGCGTGCCATTATGCTAAGACACGCTTTTATAGGAAGAACCCTCATGTACACCACGTTATCCATCATTCTCTTCGTGTGTTTTATTATATGCGTTGATACCTATTTTACATCTTTTCAGAAAGAACCAAATCAACGAGACGCAAGAAGATGTTGAGTTGGAGTATATAATACCATCAAGATGTGCTTTCGAATATTTAAAAATATCAAAAACATGTATATTGCGAACTACATGATGGAAATAATGTTAACATTATTCATGGCTCCTAGCAACTATGGTAGTATCTACTTTTCATATGTAATATTTTCTTCGCATTATCTAATGTTATGCATATGTATATTGTAAATTTTGCGTATAATTTGTATAAATTTAGTGTAAATGTATACTTTAAAAATGCATATCAATGTTGTCTTGACGCCTAAAGCTGTTCATTTCGTAAAGATAACGACTCTCTGTTTCTGCATATGGCGTTACACATTTGCGGTCAGATAAAAATTCTGAAGTCCAAAATCATCAATTTGGACATTGCAGGGCCACAAATCCAGAATCGTTTCAACGCGCTAATTCATCGACATAGTCATTTAATAGAGATGATCAAGATACTTGCCGAGGCGTCCAGTTTTATATTACTAATGGAATTTTTTTTTAGTAGCATGCTGTTATGTATACTGGGCAAATATTTGATCAGTTATAACACTTTATAAAACAAATAATTAATGATTATACTATATTTATACAGATTTCTATAAAAATATATATGCCAACATAATTGTTTTCCATTTTCTGTTTTAAATATTGTACAACTATTTCCGCAGGTTTTCAATTTATTGTGGCGTTAAAAAATAACGATAGTGCTATGATGATGAGAAGTTTTATAGTTCTTAACAGCTTTCTGGGACAAGTGACAATATATTGTGTTATTGGAGATTACTTGAAATCCCAAATGGAAGAAGTGGGAGGTTTTATTTATCAGAGCACATTGTACGATCTTCCTACAAAGCTAACGAAAAACTTGACTCTTTTCATTATGCGGTCTCAGTCTCCCGTACAGTTTCCCGCAAGCGGGAAATTTCATTGTAGTGAACCTTCAAACCTATATGAGCATTCGAAAAACCTCAATCTCTTATCTGTCAATACTTCGAGTAATGACAGAAAAATAAGTAGACACATTTATAGAAAACAAATTGTACAAGTAGTTATAAATCTATAAAATTCGGAAATAATTTCGAAGAGATAAAAATCTGGAAGAAAGAGATTAGTATAATATTATTTCAATAAAGCTATAAATAATTTTAGTCATGACGCAGTTATTAATTTGTGCCAAATCAATAGTTTCTTCCCTCACACAATATCGTATAAATACATGCACTTAAAAAAAAATAAATAGTGTCGATATATTTTTTCCGACACTATAAAACACTATTTTTTAAATTCATACGTAGTTCTTGTAAAATATACAGTTTTTTTTTTACGTCTTTCGATATTTACCTTTCCGCATTTCTGTGGTAATTTTGTCTCATCGTTCTATTAAAACATGCACAAAAATGCAGTAGAGATAGCACATTAAATACTAAAACGTGTTAAGATTCATAGAGACTATCGCAGAAGTTTATAACACAGTTGTTTTGACTAAACTCGACGTCGACGCAATTTTGATGCGCACGACGGAAAAGCTCGCTCTGGCCACTTCTACGATATATAATATATATCGTATATAATATATTTCTCTACTTAGCGTATAACACTTGTTCAAAGCGCAGACGCGAGCTGATGGGCGGCTATACATCCCGCGTGTTAAATAAAAAATGAATAGTGATATAGATTACTACAATGTTATAAAATAAATTCTTATTCAAAACAATTCAACGTAATAGGCATAATTCGATGCATTTTTTCGACGATGTGCGCGTTACGATCGTAGAAATAATTTGACAAGCGGTTACAAAGTTTGGTGTTAATAAAAGATAAACCGGAATATACGGCATGGGGAAACTGTTGTAAGCATATCGTCGATTTCATTGGAGACAGTTACAACCATTATTTTAACCTAATGGCAGATGTACAATGGAACGACGATGTCGCGTACGCGATGACCCCCTTCAAATTGCTAATGTGGCCCTTGGGTGCTTGGCCACTTCAAGTTTATAATATTTATTCGCTAATACGATGCATGACAGTTACTTTTAGTGTGGTATGTATCTTCCAAGCAGAATATCGGTGCTTTCCGACACTCGTAGTTGTTTGGACAGATCAACGTTTATAGACAGGTTAATGTTTATATGCACTTTGAACGTAACTTTAACCCTTAAGCATTGACATAGACCTACAAAAATGTTTTGAAGTTTGAAGATTACCTGAGAAAGTATGCGAAGCATCTTTCCTTGTCGCCACTTCATATCTTATGGACCAAAGAAAAGATAGACGGACGCGATATGTACGCGCTTAAACGGGAGTGAAATAGCTATAGATTTTTTACTTTATTGGGAATTTATCAAACTCTTGTCAGTGCTTAAGGATTAAGCAGGTATTGCGAAGTCTAATGTTCAATTTTAGAACATTATATTTTATTAGATTACTTTTAGCAATGTACATATTAAAAAATGTTTTTGTATGAAAGTAAAATTATTATATAAGTAATGTATAAAATGTTACTTCTAGCGCAGTTCGTGTGGGACGCAACAAAATCGCTAAAAACCATCAAAAGTCACTAAAAACCATAAAAAATCTCCCTAAATCATCTAAAAAATCACAAAAAAAGTAAGAAAAACTCATTTAACGGGATTTTTGATGGTTTTTAGTGATTTTGTTGCACCCCACACGAACTACGTTGGAAGTTAGTTAGATAAAGACGGACAATCAATCTCTGTCTGTCCTTGTCTCACCACCGGCTAACAAGCAATCATGGTGGTAAACACGAAGCGAACTAGCGGCCTTTTTTCGCTACAGGCCGATACCGCTCTCCTCTCATCCCTCCTGTTTTTTTCTCAAGCGCTGAGTAATCCGTAATTCGGGAAGAGAAGGATTTCCGAACTTCGGGTGATTTCTGTCAGTATCGTAACAAGATTTAGAAGGCGCTTACTTTTTACAAATGTTATATTCGGTTATAGACGTGTACATATATATGTATGTTGCTCGATTTTTAAGCTGTGTGTTGGAAAAATATTAGAGATTTTTATCTCAAAATATAGTAAGTAGGAAATGAGTTTTTCTTAGTTTTTTTTTTTGCGATTTTTGAGATGATTTGGCGGAATTTTTTATGGTTTTTAGTGATTTTGTTGCGCCCCACACGAAGTACGCTGGAAGTAATATTTTATATACTACTTATATATTGTATAATTTTCCACATAGCACGTAATATTACAGTAATATTGTAATATTACAATAATATTACATGTTATAATGTAATATTATTACATGTTACAGTAATATTATTGATATGTTACTTTGTAATATTGCACAGTAATATTATAGTAATATTGTTGTGTAATATATTAAATCCTAAGTTACAAGATAATGTCAAATAACATTTTCATTACGTTATCAAAATGTTATTAAAATGTCATGTAATATTACTTGGCATGTAATATATCGTATTAAAGTATAAATAATATATTTCAAAGATAATATGTTATTTTGTAATATGACAAATATCTTTCTTGTTAATATTATTCACAAAAGGAACTTTCTTTCTTCGGGTCACTGATTTTGCCGAACTTTTGTAGGAACTTAATATTGGTATAAAAGTAACAAACGCTATTTGGAGACTATGCAATTCTCAACCGTTTATGAGAAATTACGGTTTGAAATTTAACAAGCTTCCTTAATTTCATTGTAGTAGAACATGGACCGAGCAGTCATGGCGTAGTGCAACGGACTAGGCGCCACGCTATAAGGCCCGATCTACAATAGATGGAGTAAGGAGTAGGAATAGGAGTAAGACGAAATGGAAATAATTATTTTGCTTACTCCCTTACTCCAATAAAAGTTTGTCCGTATACATCACATGAAGTAAGCTTGAATTAAGTAGTAAGAGCTGAAGTAAGGGAGTAAGCGAAATAAATGTTTTCTATTTCGTCTTACTCCTACTCCTACTCCTTACTCCATCTATTGTAGATCGGTCTGCGCGTTAGGTGTTCCAAGCTGATTCGAGCCCAATTCGGTTTAGTTTTTTTTTTATACAGATTTTTATTGGTGCGAATAAAAATATATAATATATAAAATAATACGCAGACAAATCTTTTATACAATCAAACATTTTTATTACAATAATGACTGTGAAATATTACAGTAATATTACTGTGATGCGTTTTCGCGGATATTGTAATATTACTGTGATGTCTCAGTAATATTACAGTAATATTTCTGCTACATTTCATTGTAATATTACAATGGAAATGTGATATTACTGTAATATTACTGTAACATTACGTGCTATGTAGGTTGATATAAAAACTAATATATAGCGGATATTTTATTGTTTCCTTTTTTATACAATTGTGTTTTCATAAAACTGCAGATTGCATGAAATGATCAACACAAAAGTATCCGAATTTAATTATCAATTTTGTCTAATGATTTAATGTTCTGTACTTAATTTAATGCTGTTATAAACCTTAAAAGACGTTATAAACTTGAGTCTAATGTATATTGTCTGCAATTCAATATTGCCGATAAACCGAAGAACCAAAATTGATGTATACTTTCATAAACATAATGTATCTGATAAAATATATGATTTACACATATTAACAGAGTATATTAGTAATCCTGCCGTTCATCGAGATTTACTTAGGCTGCACCGACGCGGTGCAAAATGTTGACGCACTCATGGTAATCTTGTGTGGATTGCTCGGCATGACGAAGATGATATGCTTTCGCATTTACGCGAGCAACTTAATCAAGACTTACAAATGCGCTGTGAACGATTACTTGACGGTAGAAAACGCAGAGCAACGTGTCATTATGCTAAGACACGCTTTTATAGGAAGGACTCTCATGTGCACCATGATGTTCATCATTTTCTTCGACTGTTTTGTATATTCATTGTTGCCTATTGTAAATCTTCTCAGGAAGAATCAAATCAATGAAACGCAGGAAGATGTCATATTGGAATACATACTGCCGTCAAGATGTGCTTTGGAATACCTAAATTCACCTAGGAACATGTACAGTTTGAACTACATCATGCAACTAATCATGATGTTACTCGTGGGTGTTAGCAACTATGGTAATATGTATTTTATGTATGTAATATTTTTTATATATAATATTTTTTTCTGGTCTTTAATATAATGGATATATTATAAATTTCTGCGTAATCTCTGTGTGGACACAGTGCAATATTCACTTTAAAATTGTAAAGCAAAGTGTCTTCAGTTCTAAAACTATTCATTTCGTAAAGGTAACGACTGTCTGTTTCTACACATGGCGTTGCATATTTGCGGCCAGGTAAAAATCTTGAAGTCCAAGTTTATTAATTTTGACCTCACGCGGCCCCAAATACAGAATCGTTTGAATGCGCTAATCCATCGACATTGCCATTTGATGGACATGACCAAGATACTTGCCGATGCGACCAATTTCATTCTGCTGATGCAGTTCTTTCTTAGTAGCTTGCTCTTATGTATACTAGGTAATTATTTGATCAGTTATAACGTTTCATCAAACAAATTTGATGATTTGATCAATAATGACAAATTTGATGCTATAATTTTATACGAAGTTTTGCGAAAATTTTTACAGAGATATTATAATTATTTTACAGTTTGATTAAATATTTTGTAATTACTTCTGCAGGTTTGCAATTTATTTTGGCGTTAAAGGATAATGACAGGGCTATGACGGTGAAAAGTTTCATGGCTCTTAACAGCTTTCTGGCACAAGTAACGACGTATTGTATTATCGGGGATTATTTGAAGTCCCAAATGGAAGAAGTGGGTCATTTTATTTATCAGAGCACATGGTATGATTTTTCTGCGAAGCTGATGAAAAATCTGACTCTTCCTATTATGCGGTCTCAATCTCCCGTCCAGTTACAAGCAGGAAATTTCATCGTGGTGAACCTCCAAACTTATATGAGCATTCTAAAAACCTCAATGTCTTACTTATCAGTACTTCGAGTAATGGTAGAAACGTAAAAAGTCATATTTATAGAAAACAAATTTTACAAGATGTAGCTATAAGCCTATAAGATTTTCAGAATTAATTTTAATGAAATAGAAGTCTCTGTAGAAGTAAGAGTTTAGTATAACGTTACTTAAATAAAATTGTCAATTTTAGTCATAACACAGTTATTAATTCCAAATCAATAGTTTATTCCCCACAAAATTACCTATAAACATATGTATACCTAAAAAAACAAGAAATAATATGTCCATATATTTTTTCCAATATATGAAACACAATTTTTCTCTTATACGTACTTCTTCTGAAAAATACATTTTTTGCTTCGTCTTATTCGATGTTCACCCTTCCGCGTTTCCGTAAGAATTTTCTTTTTCAACAGAGTCATTGTGACATAAGCACGAAAATGCAATAGAGATAACAACAGAGCCTAGTTGAAGCATCAGATGCTGGAACGTGATGAAATTCATAAAGACTATCGCAGACTTTACAGCCTGATACAGTTATTTTGACTAAACTCCACGTCAACACACAATTTTGATGCGCACAACGCACAAGCTTACTAACCACTTCTATGTGCTATATTTCTCTGCATAGAATATAACACGTGTTCAAGACGCAGAGGTAAGCTGATGGGCGGCTATACATTCCGCGTATGAAATGAAAAACGCAATATGGATTATCATCACAGTGTTATCAAGTGAGTTTTTAGCAACAATTGAACATAAAAACGTAATTCGATATATACGCACACTTTGTTTCGACAATGTTTCGACAATGCGCACACTAGAATTATAGAAATAGTTCGATAAGCGGGTACAAACTCTGGACTGAATAAAAAATAAACCGGAATATGCCGCACGTTGGGACAGTAGCTAGCGTAGATCATTGGCGACAGTTACAATCATTATTCCAACCCAATGGCAGGTGAACGATGGAACAACGACATCGCGTACGCGATGACTCCCTTCAAATTGCTAATGTGGCCTATGGGTGGTTGGCCGCTTCAAGTTTATAACGTTTATTCGCTGATGCGATGTGTGACGGTTACTTTCGGTATGGTATGTACCTTTCAATCGAATATCGACACTCTTCAATAGTCATTTGTAAGTAAAGATATGTCAATATTTATCTGTTGCTTGAAAGTATCTTTGAGCAAAACAGTTACCGCAATGCCTAATCTTTAGTTTTAGAATATTAGACACTTCAACTCTTGACAACAAAGGAATTAAAAATTTTTTAGAACGGAGTAGAATTATTATCTAATAATCTAATGATATATTGTATATGTATATTGTGTATGGTTAATTTAATTTAATGACAAACCTTAAAAGTCATTATAAAACCATAGTCTAAAGATTATTATTTACAGTTGAATATTGCCGAAAAGTTGAAAAACTAACGTTGAAGCATACCTTCGTAAATATAAATATCGTGCATGACAAAAAATATATTGTTTACATATATTAACAGAGTATAGTAGTGATCCTGCCGTTCATCGAGATATACTTAGGCTGCACCGACGCGGGGCAAAACGTTGACGCACTCATGATAATCTTTTGCGGATCGCTCGCTATGGCGAAGATGATATGGTTCCGCATTTACGCGAGCAACTTGATCAAGACATACAAATACGCTGTGGACGACTACTTGACGGTCGAAAACGCAGAGCAGCGTGCCATTATGCTGAGACACGCTTTTATAGCAAGAACCCTCATGTGTACCATGGTGGCCATCGCTTATTTCGACTCGTTCGTTTATTCGTTAATGCCCATTCTGAATACGCTCAGCAAGAATCAAACCAACGTAACGCAGGAGGATGTCGTGCTCGAATATACATTACCGTCCAGATGCGCTTTGGAATATCTGAATGCGCCGAGAAACATGTACATTACAAACTGCATCATGGAACTAATTATGATGTTACTTGTGTGTACTAGCAACTACGGTATACTACTTTTCATGTTTTATCTGTGCGATGCTTTCTTTCCATCATATAATGTTACGCATATATTGCCAATTTCTGCACGTAATTTGAATAATAATAAAATAATTAAATTCAATGCCGCCTTAAATGTTTACTTTAAAATTGTATTCTAACGTGTCTTCACTTCGTCAAGGTAACGACTCTTTGTTTCTTCACATCGCGCTGCATATTTGCGGCCAGGTGAAAATTCTAAAATCCAAGTTTATTAATTTTGAGCTGACAGAGCCACAAATCCAGAATCGTTTCAATGCGCTAATTCAACGACATAGTCATTTGGTGGAGATGACCAAGATACTTACTGATGCGATAAGTTTCATTTTGTTGATGCAATTATTTCTTAGTAGCTTACTATTGTGTATACTAGGTGAATATTTTATCCGTTATAACATTTCATACAAATTTTCAACAACTAAATCATAAATTTATACAGATATCTATATAAATTTATACAGAAATGTTATGATTATTTTTTACTTTGAATAAATATTTTATAATTATTTCCGCAGGTTTTCAATTTATTTTGGCATTAAAAAATAACGACGGCGTTATGATGGTGAGAAGCTTTATGGTTCTTAATGCCTTTCTGGCACAAATTACGACGTACTGTGTTGTCGGGGATTATTTGAAGTCCCAAATGGAAGAAGTGGGTGTTTACATTTATCAAAGTACTTGGTACAAGTTTCCTGCAAAGCTGACGAAAAATTTGACTTTTCTCATTATGCGATCTCAGTCTCCCGTCCAGTTGCAAGCGGGAAATTTCATCGTAGTAAACCTCGAAACTTATATGAGCATTCTAAAAACCTCAATATCTTATCTTTCAGTACTTCGTGTAATGGTAGAAACATAAGAAGTCACATAAGAAGTCATATTTATAGATAGCAAATTTTACAAGACGTAGCTATAAGTCCATGAGATTCTTTTTCGGAGTTAGGTTTGGCGAAATAAAAATATCTGGAAGGAAGAGTTTAGTATAATGTTATTTCAATAAAACTATTAATTATACTCACAACGCAGCCAAATCCGTGCCAAATCAGTAGTTTCTTCTCACGTATAAACACTTAAAAAAAGAAAAGAAAACATACATCGATACTCTTTTCCGATAAATAAAACACTATTTCTGATTCATACGTACTTCTTCTAAGAAATACAGTTTTCTCCTCGTCTCTTTTAATATTCACCCTTGCGCACTCCCTCGACAACTTACTTTCACCGATTCATTGAGACATACCGCACTAAAATATAACAGAAGTAGCATAATTGAAGTATCAGATGTTGGAACGTGATAAAATTCGTAGAGACTATGGAAGACTTTTACAACACATTAAGTTTTAAGCTTGATCTACAATATGCTCTTTGCGTTCTGTTTCTTGTCTGCTGTCTTTTTTGGCTTAAAACTTAAGGTTTGAGTCAGAAAGACATAAAGAGAAAGAAGCAGGAAGCAAAGAGCATACTGTAGATCAAGCCTTATTCATCACTGGCGCATCTGTGCTGCGCACAACGGACAGGTCGCGCGAGGCACTTCTATGTGATATGTTTCTCTACATTGTGTAACACGCAAGGGCAAGCCGATAAGCGGCTATATGCGGCATGCTAAATAAAAAACGAACCGTAATAATAGCATTACAATTTTGTCAACTGAGTTTCTACCAAGCAACAATTCAACGTAATTCACTGCACTTCATGAAAATGCGCGCATTGAGATCGCATAGAAATAGTGCAATGAGCGGATGCATGGTTCCGTTTAAATAAAAAATAAGCCGGGATATGCCACGTTGGGATAATGTAGCGTGCATATCGTCGTTCATTGGTGACGGTTACAGTCATTATTCAATGGCAGGTGAACGATGGAACAACGATGTCGCGTACGCGATGACCCCCTTCAAATTGCTAATGTGGCCCATGGGTGGTTGGCCACTTCAAGTTTATAATGTTTATTCGCTAATAAGATGTGTGGCAGTTACTTGCGGTATGGTATGCATCTTTTGAGCCGGACATCGACGCTCTTTAACACTCATAGTCGTTTGAACATAGGATGATCGACCTTTGTGCCTTAAAAGTTGCTTTTGTCAAAACAATTGTCGCAGTGATAATATCGACTGCTTAATTCTGAACATTAAATATTCTAATATTGACAACGGAGACGAGGAAGTATTGTTTTTAGGCAAAAACCGAATTCTCTTTTTCTATTTTGTAATTTGACTCAAAAAATAACGTTGTGACTATATATATTTTATTATTCACCATCGATTATTCGACACATTAATTTTCTCATAAAATTGTGTAAAATGATATCATTGATGATCAACTGGAATATTTCTAGAAATAATTGTTAATCTGGCGCAATAATCGTATTCTCAGTGCTCAAACTAATATTGTTCAAAAGTCACTAGACAATGACCTTTAAAGATTATTATTTACAGTAAAATATATCAATATTGCCGAAAAACCGGTGAAATAAAGTTGGGCATACTTTTGTAAATATAATGTATACTATAAAATATATTATTTACGCATATTAACAGAGCATAATAGTGATCTTGCCGTCCATCGAGCTTTACTTGGGTTGCGCTGACGCGGATAGAAACGTTGACGCTCTCATGTTGGCTGTTTGCGGAATAATCGCTATGACAAAGATGATATGGTTTCGCATTTACGCGAGCAACTTAACCAAGACTTACAAATTCGCCGTGAACGATTACCTAATGATCGAAGACGCGGAGCAACGCGCCATTATGCTAAGGCACTCTAGTATTTCAAAGATTCTCATGTGTAGCATGGTGTCCCTAGCTTACTTTGACTCTTTCATATTGTCGTTAGTCCCCATTCTGGGTAGCAGCGGCAAGGCAGCACAGAAAATCAACGAAACGCAGGAGGACATTTTGTTGGAGTATACAGTACCGTCCAGATGCGCTTTGGAATATTTGAATGCGCCGAGAAGCATGCATACTACGCACTGCATCGTCGAACTAATCATGCTGTTACTCGTGTGCACCAGCAATTTCGGTAGTACGAATTTTTTGTATATGTTCTCTTTGCATTATATGATATTCGGAGTGCTGAGTGTACAATAATGCGTTAGCTTAAAACTTGTGTATTAATACGTTATTATTTCGTAAAGGTAACGACTCTTTGTTTCTTCACATCGCGCTGCATATTTGCGGCCAGGTGAAAATTCTAAAGTCCAAGTTTATCAATTTTGACCTCACGAGGCCACAAATCTACGATCGTTACCATGCGCTAATCCAGAGACACGGTCATTTAATGGAGATGACTAAGATACTTGCCAATGCAGTCAGCTTCGTTTTGCTGATGCAATTATTTCTTAGTAGTATATTATTGTGTATACAAGGTATAAATATTTCAATCTCCCAATTTTAACGGATCATGAAATAAATATCTGACACGATCATGGTATAAAAATTTGTAGGAAACAAATGTAAATATTATGAATATTTTTTCAGGTTTTCAACTTATCTTGGCGTTAAAAGTTAACGACACTATTATGATGGTGAAAAGCTTTATGATACTTAACTGTTTTCTGACACAAATTACGATATACTGTGTTATTGGGGATTATTTAAAAACTCAAATGGAGGAAGTGGGTTTTTTTATCTTTCAAAGCGCTTGGTACAATCTTCCTGCGAAGCTGATGAAAAATTTGTCTTTCATCATTATGCGATCTCAATATCCTGTCCAGTTACAAGCGGGAAATTTCATCGTGATAAACCTCGAAACATACATGAGTATTCTAAAGACCTCTATTTCGTATTTGTCAGTACTTCGAGTAATGATAGAAACATAAAATATATCTTAATGACACTGTTAATGAATTCTAGACACAGCTGTAAGTCTACAATTCAAAGTGAAATTTGACGAGATAGAGAACCGTGAAAGAAGAAATTTAAAGGAATATTATTTTAATAAAATTGCTAGCTTTTGCTGTAACGCAGTCGCCTATTCGAGCCAAATGAATCATTTTTTTCTCGTTAAATGTTGAAAATGTATATATGCATACATACTCTGGAAAAAAATATCCTAATTTTGTTACAAAAAATATAAAGCTGTAGTTCTGATTCATATATATTTTCAGGATAGAGAAAACACAATCTCTGTTTCTCTCAGTATTTATCTTTTCACACTGATCTGACAATTTGCTTTCTTTTTTTTTAACAACTACTATATTACAGTTTTAACACTACTGTTTAATTATACAGATTTTTAAATTTCACTTAAATGTTTCCACTATTTTTACTACATCAATCTTTTTTTCGTTATTATGTTATGCATGTTATAATTTTTATTTTTTGTAAAAACGTCTACTGTAACGAGAAAACGTTTTTTTTCATTGTCCTATCTTTCCGAGTCTGTGCCTGATATCCTGTATTTCCTCATCATTTTCCATGCGACAGTTCAATTATTCATCACTGATGTCGATAACTACTACATGAAGGAAATTGTTAATCTTACACTTTAATCATGCAGTTTGAGTTTTGATGAACAACTTCCAGCAAGCTAATCGGCACAGACACAAGCGCTAACTAAACACAAACATTGAGAAATCCATCGTCCTACATCAAGATCTATTAAGTCTTATGGGAAATTCTTGATGACTATTGAAAATTTCTATCTTGTAATTATTTTGACGTGGATCCTCACAAAAGTATAGAGATTATCATACACAACACAGGTAAGCCTACATGTCACTTTCATGTTCTGAAAATTTTACGACATATGCGAATTAAATATATAACCAAAATAGTAACAAAAATGCTCAAATGATCGAAAATACTCTTCGAGTATTTTCGAGAGCTCGAAAATACTCAGTCGAAGGAAATGTCATACAGTTCACATATAAATAGAACAAAAGACACTTCTGCCATTCGACCTTCTTCTGTCACTTGTAATGGAAAACATGTGAAATTCTCTTTTGCTGCACGCATGCGGTACGAATTCATTGTGGATAGACGGGGAACAATTTAGACGTATTCATGTACATTCTTTCTCCGAACAATTTGGGACGGAAGAACACTTCTCTGTACTTTGCGACAATGGCGCGTAAAGACGAAGTTGGAAATTCAAATACGATATCGTATACGTACTTTCAAAGCCAACACAATTTCAATTTCTCGAAGTTTATTGTGTTTTGCTTCAACAGCAACATTATCCTCTTCGAATTAATTTTTAAGTCTCAATTGTAGCATTATTTTACAGTCAAAGTATACTTTTTATCTTATATTTTAATACACTGAATTACAGTGTAACATCGATATATCGTTCACCCCATAGCAATCAGTTATTAAACACTCTTAGCTTATATTAAAGATCACACGTTTTGCATGCCCTTCCGATTAATCAATTCGTAAATCTCTGTTCAAACACTTCTTTCCATTTGTAATTCTATCTTCTCCTGTCACTTGTAATGGAAGATACGTGACATTCTCCCTTACTGCTCCTATGCGATACGAATTCACTGTGGTTAGACGAGCAACAATTTAGAAAACATATTCGTGTACATTCTTGCCCCGAACAATTTAATATAAAAGAGCACTTCTTCGTATTTTGCGAAAATCGTGCGTAAAGATGGACTGATGGGTGGGTATACATCCGGAGTTAAATAAGAAATGACTTGTCATACCTGCGTCGCGTCGGCGTAGCGAGTAGATTATTGACGACAGTTATTGTCATTACCTCGAGCAAATGGCAAGTGAACAATGGAACGAAGATATCGCATACGCGATGACTCCCTTAAAGCTTGTAATGTGGCCTCTGGGTGTCTGGCCGCTTCAAGTTTATAACATATATTCTTTAATACGATGTGTCCTAACTACTTGTTTCATGGTACGCATCTTTTAAGGAAGAACCGACAGTTCTCAACAAGTAGTTGTTGATGGAGGTAGATCAATTCTTGTAAGGACAAAATTTTGGACAAAATTGGTGTCACACTACATTATTGAGTAGTTATGAATAACACGTTTAATTATTGACAGTGTAAAGGATAAAGTATCCTTTTGTAATAGTGTATAAGTAACACATTAGAATATAAGACACATCGATGCCGTATATTAAAAATTATTTTTTAGTCTGTACTTTGTGTGGTAACTCGCGGGGTGCACGATTTTTGTTTCATTGTTTTGACGTTTTCTTGAAATATTTACCATATATAACATAATCTCTCGATGCATATCTATGGATGGCGCGTGTATGTGTGTATGTTTATGAAAGAAGTAAATTGTATATAAATACGATAATGAGAAATATCTGTAATATTACTGGTCCCATTTATATCATTCTCTAATTCTATTAGAAGTATAAGTGCGATTATAAGTGCGATTATAACTTATATTCTTAAACTAATCTATTTAAGGAAACATAGGGCCATTTTATGTCATACATCGAAGATCATTACTTATAGTTAAATAAACCATTGTGTCGGATTGGTCGATGCAACTTGGGATTGCAAAATATCTTTTCTAAACATAGAATACGTTATATATGACCGTATCATATTGAAATGTATCATTTATGCGTATCAACAGAGCATAGTAGTCATCTTGCCGACGATTGAGTTTTATTTGGGCTGCACTGACGCGGAGCAAAATATCTATGCCCTTATGTTGACCTGTTGTGGAATGCTCGCTGTGACGAAGATGATATGTGTCCGCATTTATGCGACCAACTTTACTAAGAATTACAAATCCGCTCTAAATGATTATATGTTAATCGAAAACGACGAGCAACGTGCAATTATGCACAGACACGCTTTTATGGGGAGGGCTCTCTTGTATTCCACGATATCTATTGCTTACATTGATGCTGTCCTATATTCCCTAATACCTTTCTTGGGTAATGAGTATAATAATCAAACCAACATAACAAATAAGGATATCATATTGGAGTACACAGTACCGTCAAGATGCACTTTGAAGTACTTGAACGTGCCAGACATGCATAAAATGTACTGCCTCATTGAATTAATCTCGATGTTACTCACATGCACGAGCAACTATGGTAATATTTAATTGTTACACAGCAAATTTATAATATTACATAAAAAATATAAATTTTTCGAGTGTGACTTTGCATTAGTTTTAAAATACTTTTCAACATTTTACTATGTAAAGGTAACGACACTTTGATCCTTCACGTTGCATTGCATATTTGCGGTCAAGTAAAAATTCTGAAGTACAAGTTCATGAATTTTAATGTTACGGGACCGAAAACCAATGATCGTTTTAACGCAATAATTGAAAGACACTCTCATTTGATGGCAATGACCAAAATACTTGCCGATGGAATTAGTTTTATTTTGCTAATGCAGTTATTTATTAGTAGTGTATTTTTATGCATAGCAGGTAAATATTACATAATTTATATTGATTTCGTGAAATAAATATTTGACGATTACGTTATATGAATGATGACAGAACATTATATATGATATAAACGTTTATAAATGATATAAACGCATTTTCTTGCAGGATTTGAATTTATCTTAGCGCTGAAAGTGAACGACGTTAATATGATCTTAAGAAGCGCCATGGTGCTCAACGCTATTCTAGCACAAATAACTATATACAGTTTTGTGGGAGATTACTTGAAATCTCAAATGGAAGAAATTGCTACATATATTTACCAGAGCGTTTGGTACGATCTTCCTGCGACATTGATGAAGAATTTAACATTTGTAATCATGCGGTCTCAATCTCCCGTGCAGTTCCAAGCTGGAAATTTCATCGTGATAAACTTTATGACATATATGAGCATCCTGAAGACCTCTGTTTCCTATTTATCAGTACTTCGTGTAATGGTAGAATCGTAACAAGTTTAATTAACAAACAAACTATGTACCTGCAGATCGAAGTTGTATTCCAAACATAGGAGTATGTAATAGCGAAAGTTTAGCATAGTGCAATTTCAATAAAATTTTTAATTATAATTATATACACACATTGTCTAATCGTCTATTCGTGCCAAATGAATGATTTTTTTACGTGCAATATGGGAAAGCTGTGTGTACTTGAATGAAAATACTGTATATGAAACAGTCGAAACAAATACTTGAACTTTGTAGTTGGAGATTGAGATACGGTGCCATGCACGTACTTTTCGAAGCCAACATAATTTCGATCTCTCGAAGTTTATTGTGTATTTCTTCTGCAGCAGGTTTGTCTTTTCCATACAATTGTTGGGTCTCAATTGTAGCACTATTTTGCGGTGTAAGTATATCAGTTTTCATCTTACATTTTAATACGTTGAATTAGATTGTAGCATCAATGTATCGTTCGACCCATAGCAATCAATGAATATCCACCCTTATATTAAAGATCACACGTTTTGTATGCGTTTCCGATATTAAACATTTCCAGATATTAGTCAGTTTGTAAATTTCTGTTTAGACACTTCTGCCTTTTTTAACTCTATCTGCTTTTGTCACTTGTAATAGAAGACATGTGACATTCTTCCTGTTTGTATGCGATATAAACCCACTGCGGTTAGACGGGCAACGAATTAGAAGACGTATTCATGTAGATTCTTTCTCCGAACAATTTGATATAAAAGAGCATTTCTTTGTATTTTGCGATAATGCATGTGTAAAGACGGACTGATATGCGGGTATATATCCCGAGTTAAATAAGAAATGACTTGTCATACCTGCGTCGCGTCAGCGTGGCGAACGTATTATCGGTTATTGACGACAGTTACCGTCATTACTCCGAGCAAATGGCAAGTAAACGATGGAACGAAGATATCGCGTACGCGATGACTCCCTTAAAACTTGTACTGTGGCCTCTAGGTGTTTGGCCGCTTCAAGTTTATAACTTATGTTCTCTAATACGATGTGTCCTAACCACTTGTCTCATGGTACGCATCTTTTGAGCAAAAACCGACAGTTCTCGACGAGTAGTTGTCGATGGAGGTAGATCAATTCTTGTAAAGACGAAATTTTGGACAAAATTGATGTCACACTAACTTATTGAGTAGTTATGAACATTATATATTTAATTATTGACACTGTAAAGAATAAAGTATCCTTTTGTAATAATGTATGAGTAATGATTGTAACACATTAGAAGTAACACATTAAAGTAACACATTAGAATATAAGACACATCGGTGTCAGCGTTTAATAAAAATTATTTTTTAGTCTATACTTTGCGTGGAAACTCGCGAAATGCACGATTTTTGTTAAATTATTTTGACGTTTTCTTGAGGTATTTACAACATATAACAAAATTTCTCGATCTGTGGGTGGTATGTGTGTGTCTGTGTATGTGTGTGGGAGAAGTAAATTGTATATATATATATATATATATATATATATAAATACGATATAAATATTATATATATATATATAAATACGATATAAATATTATATATAAATACGATAATGAGAAATATCTGTAATACTATTAGCTCAGTTTATATCTTTCTCTAATTCTATTAAAGGTATAAGTGCGATCATAACTTATATTTCTAATATATCTAAGGAATTTTAGGGACATTTTACACCATACTTCAAAGATCATTATTTATAGTTAAATAAACCATTATGTCGCATTGGCCGATGCAAGTTGGGATTGCAAAATACCTTTTCTAAACATAGAATACGTTATATATGATCGTATCATATTGAAATATATCGTTTACGTATATCAACAGAGTATAGTAGTCATCTTGCCGTCGATTGAGTTTTATTTGGGCTGCACCGACTCAGGGCAAAACATTTATGCCCTTATATTGACCTGTTGTGGAATACTCGGTGTGACAAAGATGATATGTGTCCGCATTTATGCGACCAACTTCACCAAGAATTACAAATCCGCTTTGAATGATTATATGTTAATCGAAAACGACGAGCAACGCGCAATTATGCACAGACACGCTCTTATGGGGAGGGCTCTCTTGTGTTCCACGATATCCGTTTCTTACTTTGATTCTGTCCTATATTTCCTAATACCTTTTTTGGGTAATGAATATAATAATCAAACCAACATAACAAATAAAGATATTATATTGGAGTACCCAATACCGTCAAGATGCGCTTTGAAGTATTTGAATGTGCCAGACATGCATAAAATGTGCTGCCTCATTGAATTAATCTCGATGTTACTCACATGCTCGAGCAACTATGGTAATATTTATTTTTTACATGTCATATTTTCTGTTTGTTATGTAATATTACATAGAAAATGTCAATTTTTCGAGTGTGACTTTGCATTAACTTTAAAATATTTTTCAACATGGTTTTACTATGTAAAGGTAACGACACTTTGATTCTCCACGTTGCATTACATATTTGTGGTCAAATAAAAATTCTGAAGTCTAAGTTCATGAACTTTGAAATCACGGGGCCGAAAATCTATGATCGTTTCAATGGGCTAATTAAGAAACACGGTCATTTGGTGGCAATGACCAAGATACTTGCCGAAGCAATTAGTTTCATTTTGTTGACGCAGTTATTTGTTAGTAGCGTACTTTTATGTATAATGGGTGAATATTATATCACTTATATTGGTTTCGTAAAATAAATATTTGACGATTACGTTATAATGATTTTTGCACAGAATATTATATATAAATGCTCTTTCTTGCAGGATTTCAATTTATCTTAGCGTTGAAAGTCAACGACATTACTATGATGGTAAAAACTGTCATGGTACTCAACGCAATTCTAGCACAAATAACTATATACAGTTTTGTGGGAGATTACTTGAAATCTCAAATGGAAGAAATTGCTACATATATTTACCAGAGCGTTTGGTACGATCTTCCTGCGACATTGATGAAGAATTTAACATTCGTCATCATGCGGTCACAATCTCCCGTGCAGTTTCAAGCTGGAAATTTCATCGTGATAAACTTCATGACATATATGAGCATCTTGAAGACCTCTGTTTCCTATTTGTCAGTACTTCGTGTCATGGTAGAATCGTAGCAATTATAATTAACGAACAAACTATATACCTGCAGATCGAAGTTGCATTCCGAACATAGGAGTATGTAAAGCGAAATTTAGTATAGTGCAAACTTAATAAAATTTTTAATTATAATTATATACACACAATGTCTAATCGTCTATTTGTGCCAAATGAGTGATTTTTTTACGTGCAATATGGGAAAGCTGTGTATACTTGAATGAAAATACTGTATTGAAACAGTCGAAACAAATATTTGAACTTTGTTGGTAGTTGAAGATTGAGATACGGTGCCATGCAAATACTTTTCAAAGCCAACATAATTTTGATCTCTCGAAGTTTATTGTGTATTTCTCCTGCAGCAACTTTGTCTCTTCCATACGATTGTTAGGTCTCAGTTGTAGCACTATTTTACGGTGTAAGTATATCAGTTTTTATATTACATTTTAATACGTTGAATTACATCATAGTAATAAATGAATATCCACCCTTATATTAAAGATCACACGTTTTATATGCGCTTCCGATAATAAAAATTTCCAGATATTAATCAGTTTGTAAATTTCTGTTTAGACATTTCAGCCTTTTTTCAACTCTATCTTCTTTTGTCACTTCTAATAAAAGACATGTGATCTTCTTCCTGCTTGTATGCGATACGAACCCACTGCGGTTAGATGGATAACGATTTAGAAAACATATTCATGTAGATTCTTTCTCCGAACAATTTGATATAAAAGAGCATTTCTTTGTATTTTGCGATAATGCATGCGTAAAGACGGACTGATATGCGGGTATATATCCCGAGTTAAATAAGAAATGACTTGTCATACCTGCGTCGCGTCGGCGTGGCGAACGGATTATCGGTTATTGACGACAGTTACCGTCATTACTCCGAGCAAATGGCAAGTAAACGATGGAGCGAAGATATCGCGTACGCGATAACTCCCTTAAAACTTGTACTGTGGCCTCTGGGTGTTTGGCCGCTTCAAGTTTATAACTTATGTTCTCTAATACGATGTGTCCTAACCACTTGTCTCATGGTACGCATCTTTTGAGCAAAAACCGACAGTTCTCGACGAGTAGTTGTTGATGGAGGTAGATCAATTCTTGTAAGGACAAAATTTTGGACAAAATTGGTGTCACACTACATTATTGAGTAGTTATGAATAACACATTTAATTATTGACAGTGTAAAGGATAAAGTATCCTTTTGTAATAGTGTATAAGTAACACATTAGAATATAAGACACATCGATGCCGTATATTAAAAATTATTTTTTAGTCTGTACTTTGTGTGGTAACTCGCGGGGTGCATTTTTGTTACATTGTTTTGACGTTTTCTTGATTTACAATATATAATGAAATTTCTCGATTCATATCTATGGATGGTGTGTATGTGTGTGTGTGTGTGTATGTGTGTATGGAAGAAGTAAATTGTATATAAAAACGATAATGAGAAATATCTGTAATACTATTGGCTCAGTTTATATCTTTCTTTAATTCTATTAAAAGTATAAGTGCTATCATAAGTGCGACCATAACTTATATTTCTAATATATCTAAGGAATTTTAGGGACATTTTATACCATATTTCAAAGATCATTATTTATAGTTAAATAAACCATTATGTCGGATTGGCCGATGCAAGTTGGGATTGCAAAATACTTTTTCTAAACATAGAATACGTTACATATGATCGTATCATATTGAAATATATCGTTTACGTATATCAACAGAGCATAGTAGTCATCTTGCCGTCGATTGAGTTTTATTTGGGCTGCACCGACGCAGAACAAAATATCTATGCCCTTATGTTGACCTGTTGTGGAATACTCGGTATGACGAAGATGATATGTGTCCGCATTTATGCGACCAATTTCACCAAGAATTACAAATCCGCTTT